AGTCCGGGGCGCGGCGGGACGGAGCGGGGAGCGCGGCTGGAGCGCGGCGGTGAGCGGGGACCGGCGACCGGCGAGGCTGGGGGGGTGGGGGGCGTGGGGCTGGCAGCACGCGTCCGCCGTGCCCAGCGGGCCGGCGCCGGCTCCGGGCCCCGAGTGCCTGTTGGGAAAGGCGGCGTCGCTATCGCCGCACGTACCGAGTGGCGGCCCTGCGCTTCACCGCCGCCCTGGGCGGCGTGCGGCCGATGGCCGTGTCGCTGTCCCGTTACCTTCCTGACGCCGTCGGGCTGCCCGCGTTCGCGCGGGGCTGCAGCGGTGGGCTGCGGCGCGGTGGCCTCCCCCTCTTCGAAGAAAAATGCCTCTCTTGCAGTGTGTCAGGGTCTCTGTGGTGTCTGTGCGCTCCGGGTGAGCTCCGCGCAGGTTTTCTCTCGGCTGTTACTGCCGCTTGATTGCTGTGGGTACTGCTGAGTCAGATAGGCGGAGATGGGGAATTAGTGCTGATGGGATAGGTGGTGTTGCACAGGATTGCTCTGAGGTTAGTGAGAGCTGTGTAACAAACCTTAAGAATTTAAGAGGCAAGTCGTACTGTTACGTGGGTGGTAATTGCTCTAAACGATTACATACAACCGGTCTAGTTTGCTTTTTACGCTCTGGGTAATTTTTGAGGGGGTCACTTTTGGGGTTTGTTCATATTTTGCATTCTGTTTTTATTCCCAAAATGGATTGCTTTCTTTTCTAGTCTCATAGAGAAATTTTTGATTGAAAACAAAGGCAAACAGGATTTATAAAGCATCCCTTTTGAGCCACCATTTTGAAACTCAGTAGCATAGATGATAAATTTCAGCTTTACATTTAGTGTTATGTCTTGCTAATTCCAAGCTAGAAGTCAGTGTGAGTGCATAAATATTTTAGACAGAAATATCAGCTGATGTTATGCATTGAATTTTTTTATAGCATCGTAATGCAGAATCAGTGTGTGAAATCATCAGTATTTTCTAGACAAGTCAGCTGCATAGTAGAAAGCATCCTGCGCTTTGGGCAGGTTAAATCAATACAAAAACTTTAAAGAATCATTTTATGTTAGGACTTAGTATGGCTCAGTTAACCCAGGATGAGTGATGAGGCATCCTGTATTTCAGGATAGTAGCAGTTAATAATACAAGTAAGATACTATGGATCATTATTTTAATTAATTGCTTAATTAATGTATTTCCCCCCCAATTAATTATGTGAAGCCATTTTACTTTTACCATTTTTGATTAGAAATGGGAAAAACAATTTCTCAGTAAAGATTTTGAAATCTTTCTAGCCATCCTAATTGGTTTTTGATTGTCAGATAATCATTCCAACTTGCTGAAATAGTTGTGTTAGCAGTATTACTAGGTTCAGGACTGGTAGAACTCTGTAAAGTCCTGTAGTAACTGCTAGTTATGATTTTCCTGAAATACAGTGGTAGTCAAAATTATTTGTGTTTTCAGAGGATGTTGTGATGCCTTTTATTTTTTTTTTGTGTTGTTTCAAAATCTTCAGCACAGGTATTCTTCTGGCTGGGTTTTATTTTAGTTTTCCTAATTAAAACATACCTTCCATTGTGTTGAAGAGAAATGATAATACCGGTGTGGAACAGCTTTGCAAGAACATAAATTTACAGAACGCAATAAAGAGTATATGATACAGGGAAGAAGAAGGGATAATAACAGCTTTAAAAGGAGGGGGTTAATTTTTAATTTTATTTTTTAAAAAGCATTCAGTCAGGAAATCAAATTATGTGTTCTTAAGGTAGGCAGTCTTCTCAACCATTTTCCCACTTTGGCTCCATGAGCCACAAACATCCTGCCACACCTTCACTGTGGAAGGATAAAGAAAAATAAATAATTGCTGTTGGTGCTCATGTGATACAGATTGGTATTGGTAGGAAACCAAGATGATTCTGGTATCTTCAGGAGCACTTAGGCAGATAGATTTGCCTGTCTCTTATTTTCTCCATTGAATGTCGACTTCATTTTTGATGTCCAAGCAAAAGAAGTAATAGCAAAAGTCCTGTGGATGGATTGTTGCATTTAGGACGGCACAAATGGATTTTTTTTATCCACTTTGAGGTGGTGGTATGTAGAGCCCTCATGCCTCCATGAAAATCTTGCAGTACTAGGTTGGTACATGTAAATTGCAGATTGTCTCTGTTAGGCAGGCTAAGCATTTTTTGCATAGTTAATCATTTTTTTTAACTTTTAAGTGCAGTTTTGTAAGCTGTTATTTTTATGAGGAAAGTCCAGTAACTAATGTATGTAAGAATGTTATGTCAATTTATTTCTATGCAGTAAAATGTAAGTAAAGATCTTTGACTTGCAGAAAGAAACAACACAGAGCAGATAGACCAGGATGTGGTCTGAAGGATGTGTTGAACATTCATGTTGTTAGTTATGTGAAAGATAGCTGTGAACATTTCTGGTAAATGTTTGTTATCTGTTGGAAGCAGAGGAATGATAAAATGCACCATTAACCAGGGAATAGTAAAGGGTAGAAGAGAACTGCCACAATGCTGTTGTGTGAGAACTTGCATGCTTTAGACGGAGAAGGAATATTTTTGAATTGTAATTAATTTGTATCACAGAATAATATTGAACAGAAAGTAGAGAAGACAGAAACATAACATCGCAATTCCTGCTGTTGAGTAGTACCAGTAATGGTTAATTGATAATTTTTTATAGCTCATCAGTATTTTTGATGGGAAGAACGAGTACAGAAAAATAACAGAATTTGGTGAGTGCTTAGATAGGCGGTAAAAACAAGAATTTTGAGTCAAAGCAGTATCAGAATTGTATGATAGAAGATTTCAAGAAGTCTCATGAGAGTAGTGAGGCTTTAGAATCACAGAATCTTCAGATTTGAAGGGACCCACAAAAGTCACTGAGTTCAGCTGTTAAATGAATGGCCCATATTGGGGCTGAACCCTCAACCTTGGCATTATTACCACCATACTCTAATGGGTGACCTAATCCCAGTGGCAAAGACTGAGAAGAAGCCAGGAAGATGGGTAGTACAAAAAAAAAGGTTGAGAAGACAGGGGCAGATCATACTGTATTTTGGAATATTAGAAATAGATGTGTTTTACGTGGAAGATTGAAGGAAAGGTAAAGATTCCTTTCTTTACTCATCTCTGCCTTAAGTGGTTTTTCTTCTATTTCCTGAAGGATGTCTTGCAGGAAAGTGTCTTTTTCACTGAATGTTGTACTTATATGAAGTATTCCTTTGCTGCAGGTTTGCTAAGTATAGAAAAACAGACTTGAAAATGCTGTCCAGACTCTTCCGAATGCATGGCCTTTTTGTAGCCTCTCATCCATGGGAAGTCATTGTGGGAACAGTGACTCTCACTATCTGCATGATGTCTATGAAGATGTTCACTGGGAATGACAAGATCTGTGGCTGGAATTATGAGTGCCCCAAACTTGAAGAAGTAAGGATTTAAAATAATTTTGTAGTATTTGGTGTTAATCAGTAGATCCAGGGTTTTCTATAGAATATGATCAAGCTGTGATGTATTAGGAGTAAAGTAGCCATGCAGAAGCTTCTTCATGGCCTTTTCTTATTTTGGACATTAAAGCTGTATGCAAACAGTGGTTCACTAATGACTAAGCATTTTAGTGTTTTAGTATTTTTATTTTTTAAGGCAAGACTAGCAGTGATATTTATTTTATTCTGGAACTTCACTTTTAAGGTAGCTTCACAATGGACTTAACATTTCACAATGGACTTTCCATAGTGTAAAAGCTAACTAAATTGCTTTGTATTTCATACAGGATGTTCTGAGCAGTGACATCATCATCCTGACAATCACACGCTGCATAGCAATTCTTTATATATATTTCCAGTTTCAGAACCTAAGGCAGCTTGGATCAAAATACATTCTAGGTATTGTATCTGGTTTTTGTATTTGCTGTATGTGTTTTAATTGTGGGGGAAGTGGTTTACCTAAATTGGTAACAAATATTAACTTTTTAATCCTTATTTTCACAACAGCATTATTTTATGGATTGCAGAAAAAATGTTTTGCATGTATCAAAGTACTATTTTTTTAGTGAAAGGTTGTGTAGGATTATATAAACACTGAAAATGTCATTCTTGAAATAACTTTTTATTATGTGAAATACTTAAAATTGTAGAGCTGTTTAAGCCACTTTTAATTTTACTTAAAATAAATTCAGATTTACGGCTTTTATTTCTGAGTCTTACTTTGAATGCATTACAGATTTTAGATTTTAATATCTATAAAAATAGCATCTACTTCAGTTTGTATCTTAGCTGCTGTTAATGCACTGAGTCAGGAATTATCATTCATTGTCATGATTCATCTAAAAGTGGGGGGTTTTAGGTTTTTTTTTTCTTTTCCTTTTCCTCTTCCATTATATATAAATGAAAAATTTCCTATTCTCTTGTTTTTTCAAGGTATTGCTGGCCTCTTCACAATCTTCTCAAGTTTTGTTTTTAGTACAGTGGTAATTCACTTCTTGGATAAAGAACTGACAGGTTTAAAGTAAGTAATGGATTGTTATTCTGGATTTTATGCTTACATTTTTTTTCCTGTACCATAAACCTTGAATTTTAACATATGCCTCTTTTTTTTTTTTTTTTCAGTGAAGCTTTACCATTCTTCCTGCTTCTGATTGATTTGTCAAGAGCAAGTGCATTAGCCAAATTTGCGCTCAGTTCCAACTCACAGGTCAGGCGAGTTATTTTTAAGGATTTTTTGGTTGGTTGGTGCTTTACTTTGGGATTTTTGTTTGTTTGTTTGCAATGGTGATTTTTAATTTAATGTTCAGAATTGGGGTTTTTGTTTGTCTTGCAGTGGAGATTTTTAATGTTCAGAATAGAACATTGTCCCATAGCAGGTGATTAGAACCTAGGTGAGCTTTAAGGCCCCTTTCAAAACAAGCCATTTTATAATTGTATGAGTAATCCAAGTGGAGAGACACACTGGGAAATAATGTCTTGGGGATACATAAATAACAAAAGGATGAGATTCTATCCAGAATGTGTTCTCTTGTCTTCTAGTGAATAGTAATATGGTAAAACTAGTGTGCACAGCCATGTGCATTGTTAATTGTATGTATGAGCATGACTGCATTAAACTGGAACTTTAAACCAGCAATGCTTACAGCTCTTCCAAGGAGGCTAGAGTTCCTAGACAGTCTTTCTTAAAATGCTTACTGACAGTAAAAAAGTTAATTTCTAGGACTCCAGAAGGGTATCTAAAGACACATCCAATGTTATGCTGTACCTACTAAAAAAAGCATGTTTTTAGGCTAAATGTTAGCAGAACATTAGCAGTAGCATATGTGCAGACAACAACATCCATGCTCTAATACATTTAACACAACACGGTAGGAGAGATTGACAGGACATCTTGCTTGTCATACCTGGTAATGTTTGTTTACTAATACTCCAAATTCTGAAATAAAGGTATATTAAGTGGGATTACTTTGTGCTTACAAAATACTGTACATGGCATTTGTACATACTAATTGTGACAGAACATAATATGTTATATTTTAATTTGGTGTATATTACAACATACAGTTTCTATATATGCAATATAATGTGTTCTATATTATTTTACGACTACTGCAAGTACAGAATTTTTTGCTAATTTTTAAGAGAATATTTTACAAAAAGGTTTCTTCTGCGTTTTTTTTTTCCCTCTGCTGCCCCAAAAATACCATCACCAGGAAAACAGTAGCAAACTCTCTAGAGTCTATCATGCCTGCTTTCTGAAGGAAATCCTTTTTTCCCCGGCAGAAAGCTTTAGTGCCTTTTGTGACCACTTTTCTATCAGCTGAGTCTACAGAGTTAAATATAAAATACTAAAGTAATAGTAATTGGGGTACAGATATGTGATTGTAAGAAATTTTGAAATGCCATGACACAAGTGACTTATTTCATGTCTTCAGATTTAGAAGTGGTGTTCTTTTGAATTTAATATAATGAGTGTCTCTGCCCATTGGTGTTGTAGAAGCTTAGAATACTGATGAGCCAAAGGTAGAGAAATCCATCAAAATGAAATAATTTTGTGTCAATAGACTGTGAAAGTATAATAAAATAGCATACAGAAAATCTGTTTCCTTTTTCTCATAATAGTTAATTTTCAATACATGTTTTAGAAGGCCTTACCACCATAATACTACTCTGTTTACTAGTCATGTTATGTCCAAGTTAATTTTGTTTTTGTCTTCATGTTAATGGACAGAAATTTTTCTTTCTAGGATGAAGTAAGAGAAAATATTTCACGTGGGATGGCAATATTAGGCCCTACGTTTACACTGGATGCACTTGTGGAGTGTCTTGTAATCGGTGTTGGTACCATGTCAGGTGAGCCATACAGTCTAAGTTAAAAAAGGCTTTTTGAGAGACATTAGGATATGGAGAGTTTCAAATTGTAGGTGTTACCCATGAGAGTGGAGTGACTTAATCTATTTCTTTATCTATCTCCTAATTAGTTTATTTTACTGGTTTATTGCAAATATGATTAATATATACATGTTGAACCAAAGTTTGAAATACTAGTAATGACTTTCCTTGAGCATTGTGTAGTAGGAATGAACTTCTGTGCAGCTGCTTTCATAAGATTTGGTTTGAGTTTTTTTCAACTACATTGCATACCTTAACAGCATCTTCTTATTTGAAGAGCACTTACTCATCAAATAGTTTTGGTTCTTTCAGGGTATTGTGTATCAATAAGCTGTTTTCTTCTTTATATCTTAGGGACAAAAGCTCATTTTGGTCTTGTATGTAGTTTTTAAAACATTTTATACTGTTAGCCCTTTCATCCTTACTAAGGCAGTTGTGTAATGCATGTGCAACTTGGCTAGCGTGCCTTTTTTCTGGATACTTGTGAACAAGTAGGTGGGGTGTATACTTCTTGCCTGAACATCCCATATTTGGAAAGGGAGTTCAGTACATAGTGTTGGCTAATTTTTTTTGCTCTAAGAAGTAAGGAGTTTCAAGCTTTCATTATGAAGTTTAAAATCTGGGTGAACTTCATTTGTCTTTATTTAGAATTACACCTTAAAATACTTTTCTGTCAATACATAAATACATATTGTACTTAGAATAAGCCAATGCACAATGAGTAGGCCTTAAGATGCTTGTTTTTAATTAATCTTGATGGTTCCTTCTGTAATCTGCAGTGTCAGTAATGATTTCTTTCTCAGTCCAGCAGCACTTCTTCAACTATAGCCAACTGCATATTCAAATGTAAAAACTGTCTTTTTATTTAGGTGTACGACAGCTTGAAATTATGTGCTGCTTTGGCTGTATGTCTGTTCTTGCCAACTACTTTGTCTTCATGACCTTCTTTCCAGCTTGTGTGTCATTGGTATTAGAGGTAAGACCAACTTCAAGACAACCTCAAGTTTAGTATTCAGCCCTGTGCTTCTGTAGGCTATACTTTTCATCATGAAGTTACATGCTGTCATGTTCATCTTCCTTTCAAAGTAAATTGGAGACAGTACCATGTAAATATCTCTGTAAATGAGTCACACTCAGTAGTAGTTGTGATCTAAAGCGTACTAAACAGACGATACTGTAACTTATTGTCTGTCCAGGGTCTTTCACAATTGAAAGTTAACTACAGACTCTTGGTAATTTGTCAATAATCAAATAAAAATATAATGTGGAATCTTATTAGTTGGTTCTTCTAACAGGTGCTATATATGACCTATTTTTGGGGGTTTTTTTGCAGCTTTCAAGAGAGAGTCGTGAAGGGCGCCCTATATGGCAGCTTAGTCATTTTGCTCGTGTTCTGGAAGAAGAAGAGAATAAACCAAATCCTGTGACACAGAGAGTCAAAATGATTATGGTTTGTGGCTCTTTTTCACCTGTGGTGATGCAATCAGTGAGGTGTCCTGGTGCAAAAATGAAGCTTTTGTTTCCTATAGACTTGTATTCTGCAGCCCATTAGTTGGGTCATAGTTTTTAATTAACATCCCCTATATCAACACCTGTTATTTTCCTGCTTATGCCATTTCTCTGCCAAGCACTCAGGGTTCTTTCATGTGTGCTCCCTCTTACCCCTCCAGTACCCTCAGCTTCCTTTGCTTATTTCTTGAGCGAGAGAAAAAATGTGAGTGGGACACATCCAAAACTACTATACAGCAATGTCACAGTAGGCCATAAAGGGTGTTAATTAGAGGTGTGGAAAATCAGCTTTTGGATTTTAGAGGCTTGGGAAGCATGGGAGAAAAAAACATCAAAAATATCCAAACAGAAAGAGGACAATATTTACTGTTAGTGGGTTAGATACCAAGGTACATTTGAAAAATTAATACTTGTTTTGTGTTTTTTATACAGTCACTGGGTTTGGTTCTTGTTCATGCCCACAGTCGTTGGATAGCGGAACCAGCTGCTCAAAACAGTACTGTTGAAAATTCAGTGGGATTGGATGAGAATGCACCAAAGAGAATTGAACCTAATGTTTCACTGTGGCAGTTCTACCTTTCTCGGTGGGTGGCTTCACAGAAGTGTGATTGTGCTGTATTTCTACTGCTGCCAAGCAAGAAACTTGTTGTCCTAGGTCACAAGACTTGCAGACTTAGAGGTCTGACCACTATAGGACTCCTTGGAACCAGAGGTGACATTCAGAAGAAATGTCAATATTATGCCATTTGTCCAAACCCTTGAAATAATCAAGGACATGATCAAGAGCTAGTTGTCCTGTATGCATCAAAACATTGTCTTTTCCCACTAGCATCTTTCACAGCATATTGGAAATAATTTTAAGACTGCACTAGAGTAATTACTTACACAGAGTTTCTGATTGTTCATACCTAAGTGCAAAACCCATTTTATACTATGGCTTTTCCTTCAGCTCAGTTCAAGTTTTTTCTGAGAACTCGGAAATTTCTGGTATAGGCACAGGGGTTTTGTCCCATCTTAACAGTTCATCTTTCATCATAGTAGTCATAATTGGCAGAGGATGATAAAGGAAACTTTGTCTTGTCACTGGGGGACAGGTGTCAAATCAATTTGATGTAGCTATCAGTGAATCTTTTACAGTCATTTTTCATACCAGATTTATGTAACTCTTTAATGACGTCTAAAGATTTCCATGTTGATAGTAGTATGAAGAATGGTTTTTCCACCCTAGCCTAGCATACTTCAATGTCCTGGTAGAAAATACCTTCTGACTGGAATTTCTATAACCATGTGATGATGGAATTATTACTCTTTCTGAAGCAAAAAATGTTAAAATGCTGTTCTAGGCAACAAATTGTATTTACTCTGTACTTACTTTTTAATCTTTTTTAGAATGGCCAGTATGGACATTGAGCAAGTAATCACGCTTGGATTAGCGCTTCTCCTTGCTGTCAAATATATTTTCTTTGAGCAAGCGGAGACTGAATCTACCCTCTCACTGAAGAATCCCATAACGTCTCCTGTGATGGTACAGAAAAAGGTCCCTGAAAATTGTTGCAGGAAGCAGACTGAACTTCTGAAAAACAATCAGAAATCTAACACAGGAGAAGAAGCTGTCATTCCCAAAGATGAGAGTGGTTGGTAATTTTTATAGTTCTAAAGTCTGGACCCATTAATGAGTATTTGGAACAAATTGTGCAATCTTTGGTAGCATATTATATTTGGTATCAAAACTTCAGGATTTTCTGAACTGAAGTTCATTTTTATTATCTCTGTGCAGCTGAAGTCATAAAACCTGTATTAGCAGAGTTATCAACCAAGGCTACGTTTGTGGTAGGCAATTCCAGCCCTGTGGAAACTTCTTCATATCTTAGTGGAAAAGAGGAAGAGATTGAGTTACCTAAAGAGCCACGTTCTATTGAGGAATGTGTTCGTATACTTGGAAATGCACAGGTATGGAAAAAAACCTTTTTTATTTAACCTCTACTGCAACATCTGATTTGAGAGTTGTTAAGAGTTCTTTTCCCAGCTTTTAGATAATCCCATTGGTTGTAATATCATTCTTCAGGAAATTACACGGCTTTAATAACGTGGGAGGGTGTGGAGGTCATGACTAAAACAAAACTCTTTAATGAGTTACTTCTCAAGTCAGTTGAGAAGGGATTAGCTTCATCATTAATAACATACCAAGTCTTTGGAGCTTCATCATGTACATGTATGAATGGGTGTCTAATCACGAAAGTTTTTGATCATGTGTCGGCCTGCTGTAAAGCCTGATGTTGGCAGTTGACCCCTTTAGCAAAGTAAAGTTGCTACTCTTCTTCTTCTAGAAACATTTAAAAGGATTTTCACCAGGAGAGTCTCTATTTTCTCTCTCCACCCTTTATGTTTTCAGGAAGGAGCAAAATTTCTTACTGATGCAGAGGTTATCAGCTTAGTTAATGCTAAGCATATTCCTGCATACAAACTGGAAACCCTGATGGAAACCCAGGAGCGAGGTGTATCCATTCGCAGACAGATGTTGTCTAAGAAACTTCCTGAACCTTCATCTTTGCAGTATCTTCCTTATAGGAATTATAATTATTCTTTGGTACGTACAAAGTAGACAAGCAGAATTCACTGTAAGACTATTTTCCAAACACAGGAGAAGAAAAACATGAACCTGTTGGAACAAGTACAGAGGAGGCCACTAAATTGATCAGGGGTTGGAATATCTCACCTGTGAGGATAGGCTAATAGAGTTGGGGTTTTTCATCCTGGAAGAGGAAGCTTTGGCAGGACCTTAAAGCACTTTCCAGTATCTGAAGGGGGCTTACAAGAGAGGGAGGAGGGACTTTGCACAAGGATCTGTAATGAAAGGACAAGGGGGAGCGTCCTTAAGTTGAAGAAGGGCAGATTTAGATGTTAGGAAGAAATTCTTCACTGTGAGTGTGGTGAGACACTGGAACAAGTTGTCCAGAGAAGGTGTGGCTGGCCCAATCCTGGCAGTGTTCAAGGCCAGGCTGGATGGGGCTCTGAGCAACCTGGTCTAGTAAAAGGTGTCGCTATTAAATAAATCCATAGTCATGTATATGAGTTAACAATAAGCATGGTCAAAACTGATGTAGAAGGAAAAAAATAAGAGGCAAACATGAGGCACCACCTTTAATTGCTCTTGATGTTTTTAAACCTAGGGTGGTGCATGAGTTTTGTAAGTTGTCCAAAAAGTATTTCATATCAAAATATGCAACTGACTTATCTAAGAAACGCAGAGTTCTACTAATACTGAGCCAGAGCTCAACTGAATGATAATACTACCTTGAGCACAAGTTAAAATGGAAAATAGTTCTAAAATTATTTTAAAACTTAAAGGTTATTTAAGTAAAATTTATTACTGTACAGGATTCAATACATCTGCCTAGTATTGAATAGCGTTAGCTGTAGCTGTTAACTTTTTGAAGTGTCAGTGAGTTGCTTTATGGGTAAATTTGTGGGTGTTTTACAAAGATGCCTCGGTGTAGTTGTAGGCATTGTATGTAGCATTGCTGTACTGTAGCACTGGAATGTAACCTGAGTGATTGTTTTGTATGGTTTCTGTAAGGTGATGGGAGCTTGCTGTGAAAACGTGATTGGATATATGCCTATTCCGGTAGGCGTAGCAGGACCTCTGGTTTTGGATAACAAAGAGTTTCAGGTGCCAATGGCAACAACAGAAGGGTGTCTTGTAGCAAGCACAAACAGAGGATGTAGAGCAATATGTGTAAGTATTGTGTGACTTTAAAAACTTCCTATATTATAAACATACATAAATATAATGCATAAAAATACTCATTAGATAAACCTAAACATATTCAGGTTTATATAATGCATATATTTTATTTCTTGAAAATTAAAATTTCAGTAATCTTACTTTGTCCACCTTCTGCTTTGGTTTTTAGCTTGGTGGAGGAGCAAGTAGCCGCATTCTGGCAGATGGGATGACTCGAGGACCGGTTGTAAGGTTGCCCACTGCTTGCCAGGCTGCAGAGGTGAAAGTCTGGCTTGAAAGCCCCGAAGGTTTTAAAATAATGAAGGAAGCTTTTGACAGCACAAGTAGGTTAGTATAATGGCTCTTCCAGCTTCATTTCCAGACATAAGACTTCCATGGATGGTAGAAAGATCTCAGTTGTTTTTTTGAGTACTGTAGTAGAGGATATTACATCTCTGTTTTGGCTATCCCAGTGTTGTGAGCGTCTAACAGGACAGAAGTCGCTCAGGCTAGTGTGCCAATAAACATTTTTTCACTGATAATGGTAAACTGTGTATTAACAAATAGATATATACTACATAGTAATTAATAGAATACTAACTTGTCTAAGCATTTTTTTAAAAATCTTATGAACTTACTTTGATTTTTACTAGGCAGAGTAACTAACTGTAGTTACTATGCTGAAAAAACCCTCAAAGTTTGGTCTTTCAGATGATATTATTAATATAATTAATCTGTGATGTTTCAGAGAGTACAAGGTAAACTAATGGTACAACTGAAATGCTAAAAAAATGTAAAAGAGTGGTAAGAATAAGTCTATTTCAAGCCCTAGAGTTTTCTCTGGGGCTTATGATTACCTTCTTGCTTTAGGAAGATTCAGAGAGAGATTTTCTTACCTGTTGTGTTTCTTAACAAGTGTCAGCCAAAGGTACATCTGTATTTTGGCCAAAATCAGCTCATGCTGCTTTTTAAATGCAGTATTTTCTGTGTTTTGAGTAACTTGTGCAGCTTGCACTGTTGAACATAGCATGCTTTTTGCCCTGCTGTAAAACTTACATCAGAATTTCCAAAGGCCTCATTATTACTTTATATCTGGTAGTGAGATGTTTTAAGGAATAGAAATGAATAAAATTTATGTTAGCAGTTCAGGATATTTTATTTCTTTAAGTTCAGGGATAGAAAATATAAAAAGGCAGTGAACACTTTTACAGTGAATATTTTTGTAGTACCTATTCAAGAAAGCACCATGCCTGGAAGGGTTCAAGAAATGGATGTAGCTCTTGATGCTGTGCTCCTGTTGGAAAGATGATTGTCTGTCAGAGACTGGACTCTTGTTGGTTTTACAGCTCTTTTCCAAATGATTCGTAAAGGAATCTATGATTCTGTATTTAGCAGTGCAATTTGCAAAGATTTACTGTAATTTTGCCACTTAAACATAATAATTGCCATGACCATTGTAAGTAATAGTTAAATTTTCTTGCAGGTTTGCCCGCCTACAAAAACTTCTCATCAGTTTGGCTGGTCGTAACCTTTATATCCGTTTTCAGTCTGGAACAGGGGATGCAATGGGAATGAATATGATTTCAAAAGTAAGGACCATTATCCTTAAGTATTTTTTAAAAAATGGGTATTCATTTTTAAAAGTAGCCTAATAACCTGTGACATGAGAAAGACGAGACAGAGTGGTCTTTGCACAAAATAATAAAAATGTTTGATTTTGTCAAGACAAATAGGAAGAGAATGATGGAAGTAAAATGTAATTTTTTATTTTATATTTTTAATAATTATTTAAAGAAAGTATTTTTGGTAATAGGAGAAGCTAAGCTGGTTGCACTGTTGCTTTGAGCCAAAGATTTTATCCAGCAATAATTGTTCTGTTATTGTGTTTATCACTTCCTAGTTAATAAAGAATTAGGAGTGGCAACAGAGAGATGTTCTCTAGTTTTGCTTGTTTGTTTATATACAAACATGGGGAAGAACTTGAGGTATGATCCGTAGATTGGTGGGATGCCTTGTGCTGTAGGAAATTAATAACGTTAGACTCAAACTTCATATAGAATAGGTAGTCAGAACCATTATAAATGTGGATCTGATCATAGCAGATTTTCTAGTCTGATTTCCTAGTGTAGAGAAGCTCTTTCCAATACATCCAAAACTGATCAATTCCATGCCTGTAATATTCAACTTAGTTCCTTTTATATCTTCAGTATGGTAACCATATGTCCATGTACCTAAAAGGGATCCAGGGAGTCTGTATGCACTAGGAAAAAACAGTTATTCCCCAATATAATTCCCAAAGTGATTAGAAAAAGGATAGTCATAATTGTTTGTGTTTTTCCCCCTCCCGTTTCTTGTTTCTTCATTATATTGTGTTCTTTTCTTCCACTGTAACTAATAATCTGATTAGAATACTGTTCCACTGTCCTTGAATAGCTGGTTTTACACCCATAATGATAAACCTAGCCTATTAAGTGTTTCTCTCTTAACAGGGTACTGAAAAAGCACTGGCGAGGCTGAATGAGGAGTTTCCTGACCTTCAAGTTATAGCTATCAGTGGCAACTACTGTACAGACAAAAAACCTGCTGCTATAAACTGGATAGAAGGAAGAGGGAAGTCTGTTGTCTGTGAAGCAGTCATTCCAGCTAAGGTTGTTAGAGAAGTAAGTGTCTGCTTTCTTGTTTATAAAAATACATACATTTTGCAAAACTGATTCTTACTTTACATCATAAATGTGAACTGAAAGTTGTTTTCCAGGTAAGGATAGTTCTTACACATCTTTACAGGTACTTCTGTAGGATAAGCCATTTCTCTCAGTGAGTAGTCACTTCCTTTTTCCTTGTGGCTTGTGTGAAATAGTGTGTATGTGTTTCATGATGCATATCTAGTTGAAGGCATTAGGATTTTCATGTTTAACCTCTGAAAAATTATGCCAAGTTTTGACAGATGTTTACATGTTCTGTTTTGTCTGTCATTAAACCCAGTCTTTTAACCCTTCTACTCATATTTTGTCTCACATGCACCTGGCTTTCTCTTCAATACTTGTATGCTTCCTCCTACAATGGAAACAGATAATCAGGTGGTTTACTTACCACAAAGCTGTCTTGGCATCTTGCATGACCAAGGGTATTGCTTTATAAGCAGTGCCAGTTGTATTCTCTGGCTGGCTTGTCCTCCATTACAACAGTGTCTTAGATTCTCTTCCACCTGAGTTCAGAAGCTGGCTTCTGTGTCAGATAAAATCCATTGCCTGTTACCTGGTTGTCAGCACTGGCCATGGGAGACAATATCCTGGGAAGAATTCACTACATTGTAACACTTGTTCAAGATCTTATAAGTGGGTATTTGCATATTGGATAGGGGTTGTTTTTTTGCTTGCTTTCCCCTAGTGAAATCCCCTAGATTTGTCCAGTCCCTTCTGGAAAACTATATAAACTTCTAGAAGTAGTATTCTGGGCAGTAGTATTCCACAGTCCAGCTTCGCCTTGTGTGAGAACTACCTTAGTGTTGATTCCATTTGATGATGCCCCAGTTTTGTACTGGGAGAGATGCTTAAGACTTGTTATCTTCACTCAACTGCTCAAGATTTTACAGCTCTGACACAGCCTGTCCACCTTCCCAGCTATTCTCATTTTCAGACTGAAAAGTACTAGTTTCTCTATCAGCAATGAGTAAACAGACTTCTAGTATGTCTTTGAACATCCTTACCTCTGCATCTTTTACAGTTCTACCATGTCTAAAATTCTGGGTACAGAGTTGGACACAGGATTCTAACAGTGTGTGCAGAATGGATTTATACATTGACATAGTTCATGTCTTCTTGGGTAGTATACTGTTTTTCAAATTGTTGTCACAGGCAATATCTGTTGTAACCTCAGGATTTCATTCCAGGGTAGTAATGAGGAGGTAGTCCTTTCATCATGGGCATTGATAATTTTTAGGTAAATTTGGGAAGGTTTTCCTCAAATCCCAGCCCTGTATGTCACCACATTTACTTATATTGAACTCTTAATACATAAATATCACATTTTTTTCAGTGCTGCAGACTTGGTGCAGTTGTCTGTAAATACTGTTCCTACTGTGCAGGAATGTCTTAAATTTTGCTCAACAACAGTATCTCTTTGGACCATCTTTCATAATTTTTATATTATATTCAGTATAAATCTTACTTGAAAGTTTCAAAATACAGTCACTATAGTATAAATGTGCCACTTAATTTTATATTACTATTCATAGTATTTATTTACCTATGTAGAAGAGTGGTTTGTGTTGGAACTTTTCAGCTTGGCTCCATATTCATATGCAAAACAAATTTGGGAAGAGTTTAGTGTCTGGAACAACTTGACAGGAATGTTAACATCATGTCAAGGTAAATTAATGGGATATTTCTGTCAAGATGATTTTGCTTGTTCCATTGTGAATATAAGGGAGACTTTGAAATGGAGCACCCAGCTGTGAGCTTCTCTCACCTGTGCAAGTCCAGATCCTTTGTACTGACTTCTCCATTGTTACTTGGACATCCTACATTTGAAAGTCTCCTTTGGAACAAAAATAAAAGGTATCCAGGACAATGATTGAGTCAAATTCCATACAGAAGCAAACAAGGGGTGAGGGCCATGAATAACCATAAATAGAGTATTTCTACTCCTGCCTGAGGAAGAGGGTAGTAAAAGTGTATCTATCACTTCTTCCAGGTCTTGAAAACAACTACGGAAGATCTAGTGGAAGTAAATATAAACAAAAATTTGGTGGGTTCTGCGATGGCTGGTAGCATAGGTGGCTACAACGCACATGCAGCAAACATTGTGACAGCGATCTACATTGCCTGTGGTCAGGTAGGTTTGTTCTACACCAGTTCACATTTTCTTTAGTTCAGTAATTCTTAATTAAACACTGATTTAAGTGTCTGGATTGTTGTTTCTCCTCCTTGATCTGAAGGATGCTGCGCAGAATGTGGGCAGCTCCAACTGCATCACTTTGATGGAGAGGACTGGTTCCACCAATGAAGACCTGTACATCAGCTGCACGATGCCTTCTATAGAAATAGGGACTGTTGGCGGAGGCACCAACTTGCTCCCACAGCAGGCCTGTTTGCAGGTATAGTTCTCAAAGCTGAAAGAAACTTATCTTCTTAAATCAAAGGTTGCCTTCATGTGGTGTGCAAGCAATATTGTGGGAATGGGGCTGTTTGAAACTTGGTATATTTTATATAAAAATGTTAGAAATGTCTAATGAATTGTTTTCATATATCCAGTTCCTAAAGCTTAAGACATTCACTAATGTCTTAATAATATTAAAGAGACTCATTGGATATAATTTAGAAATACTTTAATACCAAATATATAATAAATTGACTTAGATTGCATAGCATAATACTGCCTTGTATTTTTTTCCAGATGTTAGGAGTTCAAGGTGCAAGCCAAGATAACCCTGGTGAAAATGCCCGTCAGCTTGCTAAAATTGTTTGTGCTACAGTGATGGCAGGGGAATTGTCACTAATGGCTGCTCTTGCAGCAGGGCATCTAGTCAAAAGCCACATGATCCACAACAGGTAAAAAATGGAAAAATTTGTGTATTCTCTGCTGTTTTGATCCTCTTACAAGTACAGGAGAGTCAATAATGATTGTGACTAATTGCAACACATAAAAGCAGTGTAACATTTTAACTATCTAATTTATTTGTCTTGCTGTTTTATTAGGTCAAAGATAAATCTACAGGATCTTCAAGGAACCTGCACTAAAAAGGCAGCTTGAATACTAAAATGGCTTTGAAATGAAGAATTGTTTTAGTAACTGACCAGGTGCACAAGGAAAAAAAACCAAAATATATGAAGTTCAGAATAAAGATTGCCTTCAACTCAATGATGTCTGTGTAAGAGAAACTAAGAGATCAAGACTTGAGACTTGCTATGCTTGACCTTCTTCAGTGGTTAGAGACTGTGAAAGAAGTCTGTCAGATGTCTTGAATATGGCTTTCAAATTCTTACTCTTACACATCATTTTCTGAAGAGTCAGTCTTATGTTTTTACAGGTTGAGATTATTTTGCCTAAAAAGGTCCTGGTAACTACTAAACTGAAAAGTAATTTGTACGTTTAAAATAACAAAACAAAAGAAGTTGGTGTAAACTTGGATTGAATGCACTGGGTCCTTGCCATCTTTATTTTCTGGTTAAACAAGCATGTTTTTTAAAGTGATGGCAAGCCTAATCACTTTCTATGAACTCCCAGTTTTAATTTGTCCACATGTAAAACAGGTCTTAGGCTATCAGACAGTTTAATTGAATGATATTAGTTTAATAGAAATATTATATTCTATTCTGTCTATATATAGTACTTGATTTGCTGCTGCTTCAGCTAAGCAGTGTTGATTGTTTAACACCACAATTTAGGTTATTCCTTTATGTAAAACTTGTGATCTGTAAAGTTCTGAACTGTTAAATATAGTCTGTACTAAAGTAGGGAAGAACAGTGTCTTCAACTGTTTTGGTACTTTGTAGAAAAAATGAAATGGTAACTTCAAAACAGTTATGTGTCAGACAGGTATTTAAATGTAGTTTCTCAAACATTATGTGATAGGAGTGCATTCAAACAAACGAGTCAAGAACAGATGTTTACACTTACTTAACAAGAAGTCTCTTTAGGAACATATATACACATTGTGTACCTTATGTTGGGGATTTTTATGAGGTGTTTAATGCTTATTCTCCAAGAATAGGTGTTTATCCACCATTTCAGCTGAGATAAAAGTAAGCCAGAAAACCACACTGTTCTTAAAAAGAAAACGGAGGGGATTTTTTTTCTTTTAATTTCCTTTTGAACTTTCTTTCTGAGGTGGGGAATATTTATTTTAAAAAGAAATCTTAGCTTTTTTGTCAATGAAAAGTACTAATTAAGGGGATTCAATGAAATTACATGTTAATGTAAGAAGCAGTTTTTGTAATAAAATACTGTATTTGGACCAGTGAAGCAGTCTCAGGTGTTCTTACTGTAATAAAGAAAACCCAGATTTATTCTGGTTTGATTCACTTTTGGGAATACTGCTAAATGCATAGCCCTGCCTAGTTAATCACAGGAGGAAAATTATTAATATGCTTGATGATTTTTTTGTTTGGTTGGTGTTGGCTTTTCTTGTTTGACTTTTTGTGGGGGGAATCAGTGGATTGGGCTGGGTTTCCTGCAGCATCATTCCTAAACGGGTGTCTAGTAGAGGTGCTCTTCTAACGTGCAGATTTGATACACATCATGGTGGGTTGCTTTGTAGTACATTTGCACATTAATATCCATTGTAATGAGCTCGTAAATGTAATGTGCAAGCATGAAGACATACTACATGCTAGACATGTTATGATGGCATGTAAATAGCAAATACCATGAATGTTTATCTTCCTGCAGTATTGTTGCTAATTGCTACTATTTTTATTTAAGGAAATTTGGAATTACTTGGTTTCTGTGTTCATTCAATGATTTTATTTAACACTGGTCTGGCAATAAATGGTGGTTCAGTGTTCATTTCAGTGGATTTAACTGACATTCTGTCTGGCAGAATTAACTTTTTGTATTATTACTAAACTGTGTACATTTTGGTACAGAACTACTTTTTCAGTTTCAGTAAAACCATGGAAAACACATTGGCTTAATTGTGATATTTTAAGCTTGCTTCTTGACTTAGTGACATATTTGTAGACCGTCTAAATTAAGAGAGTTAATGAAAAGACACCGGCAAGCAGTGCTAAACACAGCCAGGGCTGTGACACCAGAACTTCTCCCCTTGTTTGCAGAAGCCCGTTGGCACTCATTTATTCTCCTCAAAGCTTTATTAGGCAATTTGCCCAAGGGGGAGAACTAACTCACTGCATCATTACAGATACCTTCTGCTGGGGCCTGTTTGTCAAGATCAAACCACCTGTCTAGAATAGAATTTCTAGAATTGCCGTAACTTCGGTGCTGTACTTGTACCATTGATAATGGTTTCCCAAATATTTTAAAACCCTAGAAGAAAAAAAAAACATTTAAAATAGTGTGTTTGGCTCTGGTACCACCTTGCTTCTCTCCTTACCTCCTTTCTCCTCTGTGTGCTGAATCTATTTTACCCTGTAGCACACCAGTCCCCTTCTGCTGGTGTGGAAGTTTCAGCACTGTGTTTCAAGCACTGCAGCCCCAGCTGCCTCTAACCACATGGTTCTTGCCCACCTTGATTTCCCCAGCTGCTGCAAGGCCCTGTCACTGAACTGAGCATTACTGAACCTTCCTGATGGAGGGAGCAGCTCCAGCAAAGGGATGCACACCACCACCACGTGCACCCTGAGCACAGCTGTGATACCAGAAGCCTGGTATAGCAGGTGCTGACCTGGGAGGATGTGGCTCTGCCAAGCTCCAGCACAGGCATTCCTAGGCAGGCACACTGATTGCTGGAAAGGAGTGCAGCTGGGAGACCACTTCCTTTCTCATAGGAGCGTACAAGTACACTGGGTGTGCCGGTGCACAGACGCTGGACAATTTTCATCCTTGATGTGAATCTTGCTCATAAGGTGAATACAGCCCTGGGAAAAGCTGTGGTAGAGGGCCTGTCCTGCTCCTTCCAGCTGCCTTTTGGAGTGCAGTGAGAGCTCTGACTACTCGGGATGTTTTTCACATGTGTATCCTCTCCATCTCCTTTAGATGTGGCTTACCATTTTCAAGGTCATATCCTCTTTCTCCCTTTGGCTTTGGTTAGGGAAGGTTTATATTGTACAAAGATATCTGCTGAAACAAGATGATGGTTTGGGATCCTGTCTTGCCTCAGTGCAAATTAGCATTCCTGTCAGGTCCACTTTGTCCTGCACACAGTAGTGACAGTGGTGTGCATCCAGTGACACCCCTAACACTGATAATTCCATACCTTGTCCTCCTGCCTGGGGATGGCTGCTGGCCCCAGGCTCACCTTGCTTACTAGCCTGTGGAAGGGGGGAGGCCTGCTTCCAAAGTTAACCTCACCTCAGTGCTCCAAGGCTTTTGCAGTCTCTTACACAATGTAAAGCTACTTAGCATCCTATCTTAACCACCAGTTTTACTTCAGTCTGCTTTTAGGGGACTCTAAGAGCTTTAGCCCCAGCTTTCATAGGTTGCTCCCATTCCATTCCCACTAGGACTCAGGCCTTCTAGAAGAATATGATGGATTGACCTTGTTGTTGTTCACCCACACTCGAGCAGGACAGGAAAGAGAAATTGTAAAGGTAAAAATGAGAAGACAGATTGAGATAGAGACTGCTTAGGAGATAAAGTGAAGCGACACACAGAAAGCAAAACAAAGAATTCATTCACAGTTCCCTAGCAGCAAGCAGAGCTTCGGCACACCAACAGTTACTTGGGACACAAATGCCATAACCACGAATGTCCCCACTTTCTCATCTTTTTCCCACAGCTTTTGGTCGTGGGCACAATGCCATGTGGTACAGAATATTGCCAAGGTCAGTTGGGATCAGATGTGACTTCCTGTGTTCCTTCAGAGCCTCTTACCCACCTCTAGCCTACTAACTGGCAGCGAATGCAGGAGAAAAAGGACATAAATAAAACCTTGATGCTGGCAACCCCTGCTCAGCAACAGCCAAAACACTGCTATGTAACCAATGTTCTTAGTCACTAATGCGGAACACGGCCTCAAACAGGCTGCTATGGAGACAGCCAATTTCATCCCAGCCACAGCCTATATAAAAATAGAAAATCTGGATCCCAGCACCAATACCTACAACAAGTGAGAACCACAACAGCCAAGTAAAGACCAGCTCTTAGAATCACAGAAAGGTTTGGGTTGGAAGGGACTTACAAGAGCATTAATTTCAACCCCCCTACTGTTGGCAGGCACACCTTCACTAGACCAGAGAATCACAGAATTGTTTAGGTTGGAACAGAATTTTAGAATCATTGAGTCCAGCTCTAAACTTGACATTGCCAAGTCCACAGGCTAAAAAGGCATCAGCCTGATGCACCTGGCATGTTCCTTCCTGACATTCTTCCTCCCTGTTGTCTGGCCTGATGGTACACAGTGAAACAAACATGATGAAGTTCTCTTCCTGGATCCTCCTTGGAGGCCTCTCCCTTGGACACAGTGCACCAGACAGAACCTGAGTGTCAACAGGAGCCAGCCATGTTTCTTTTCTCCTCCTTGCAATGATTAACCTCCAGCTCATACCAGGCAGCAGTAGCAGAATGAAAAAAAATCACCTCTCTTTTCCACCACCAGAAACATAAAGTTAGATTGCTCAAAGCCCCATCCAACCTGACCTTGAACACTTCCAGTCATGGTCCAGCCGTTACTTCCCAGTTCTAGCATCTCAGCACCCTCTCAAGAAATAATTTCTTCCTTACCCAGTTTACCCTTCTGGAGAAAAATTCTACAAGGTCAGTCCACACTGTCAAAAGCTGGAACACCAGGATGAAAATAACCATGCCATAAAAATGACATCAATTATCAATCTCTCTCAGGACCATTGAGTGAAGGACCACAGTTAGGCAAGTCTATCATGCTCAGCACAAGACAAGGCACACAAGTCTAGCTTCTAGTTCTGCATCTGGTACTACAATACAGTTTGCCAAATTGCTTCCTATGTCCCCTTAATGAACCACTGGGCTCTGAAAACAAATAGAAGGCAATACTACAGTATGTGTATGCCAGAGGCTGCATCATTCTCAATCTGCAGTCTCAGAAACATGGTCTTCCATGGAGGCAGTCACTGCATAAAGCTGCCCTCATCCTCAAAACAACTGGGCAATGTTGCTACTTTCTTTTGCCCAGCACTGATTGCATCAGTTTTTCACCCACAGGCCGCACCCACCCAATGCACAGGTTTATGCACAGGTATAACAATGCTGCTAAGGGTGAAACTTCTTTTAAAAGGGTACTTGAAACAAGCCACATACAAATGTAATGGTATACAGAGGAGTCCATCTCACTCCCCATCTTTTCTATGAGAGAGCTGGCATAGCTCTGTGTGAGCTGGTCCAGTAAACAACACCAGAGGTTAAAATTAGTTCAACTTTTGGAAATACTGGCTCTAAAAGATGCTTCTTTAGTGAAAAAAAAAAAAAAAATGACAGGTCTATAATATGCAAGGAGTGACACCCACTATTGCCAGAGTTTCTGGATAAACAGAATAATACTTTTTGTAGGATAATCTTCGTTTTCCCTTCTGAAAATTGTTCCTGGGTAAGTAAGCCTGAAGAGTAGAAAATTCTGAGTTAATTCCTCATAGCAGTTTCTTTTAATATGTAACAATGCATTCTACATTTGGCATTTAAAATCCAGGGAACACAAGCACATAGCATAGAAAATTACATGCAACTTTAGTTTTTGCTTTGGCAATACAAGCTTAGGAATGGGGCAAAGTGTTATGCCACCAGGCTGGCCAGGTCACTGAAATAACTTGCTTGGAAACAGTTCTTGCTTTGTGAGGTGGGGAGGAATAAATCATAATCTGCATTACACTGAGGCTCATGCTAAGTCACCAATTACCTGATGTTTATTATGGATTTCTCTGTCTGTGCTGTAACTTAATGTAGTCCCTTTAGTTTTGATGGTCCCTCAACTATTGACATACAACTCAGCCCCTGAATTATCTGTTAACATACAAAATCACCACATGAGTAATTCCAACCTTGAAATTCTCTCAACAACTTTTCAAAATACAAATTATGTAATGAAACCACGATGTAAATTGCCTGCTACATAACTGAGAGGAGTTATTGTCCCTTACTACACTGAGGTACTGGAGTGAGTCCAGAGAAGACCAGTGGAGCTGAGGGAGGGTCTGGAGCACAGCTCCTGTGAGGAGTGGCTGAGGGAGCCGGGGGTGTCTAGTCTGGAAAAAAGGAGGCTCAGGGAAGACATCATTGCTCTCTACAACTGCCTGGAAGGAGGCTGCAGCCAGGTGGGGTTGGTCTTTCTGCCCATGTAACAAGCACAAGCAGAAGAGGAAACAGTCTCAAGCTGCAGCAGGGGAGGGCTAGACTGGATGCCAGGAGGAGGCTCTTCACTGGACCGGGAGACAAGCGCTGCAACAGACTGCCCTGCTCTGGCAAGTGGTGGTAGCACTGACCCTGGCAATGTTAAAAAAGGTGTAGATGTGGCACTCAGGGACGTGGTTTACTGGGGGACCTGGAAGGGTTAGGTTAGCCATTGGACTTGATGAGGTTTGAAGTCTTTTCCAACCATAATGATTTTATGATTCCAGGTAGAGGAGCCTACAGGAAAGGAATGAAGCTGAGCTCAGGAAAAGGGGCAAGACAACTTATTTTACTGTTTGTCCTTCTGTCTCCCATTAACTTCCCATTATTTTAAATCAGCAACAAATTGATTTTCCACATATCAAGAATGTCCTGCCGTGAAAAAAACCAGGGAGCAACCTTCCTGTCTTTCTCTTGACCCATGAGCTTTCTTATTCTACTTTCCTCTCTAATCCTGCTGAATGGGTGGTGAGCATTTCACTCTTTGCCAAGGCTATCCCACCACAAGTCCAGTTATTTCATTCAAGAAAAAATCTCCTCTTCCAAAAGGTGAGCAAAGAGAGGAATACAAAGTAATGACTTTATATATTAATTAAGGTACTTAATACCCTGACTGTCCTCTAAACCCCAGAAAATGTCATTGACAAATGGGCCTTTTTGAAAGCTGCAAGTCTGCCAAAGCAGAGCAAGTTGAAAACTCTCAGGTTTCAGGAGCTTTTGCTCCTTTTTATTCCTGGGAAAAGAAGTCAAAAGAAGTTTGTGAGCCCCTTTAAAATATACTTACTCATGCTGTATGAGATATTAGTCCCAGGAGACCCCTAGTGAAATTTAGGTTTGATTTTGCTAATCACTTACATCTTCCACAAGTGCTTTAAAGCTAGTTCAGAAGCTCGGGAGAGACCTTATCACTCTCTACAACTGCCTGAAAGGAGTTTGTAGAAAGGTACAGATCAGTCTCTTCTCACAGGCGACAAGCGACAGGACAAGAGGAAATGGCCTCAACCTGCACCTGGGGAGATTCAGGCTGGACATTGGGTAGAATTTCTTCTCTGAAAGGCTTGTCAAGGCCATTGGAATGGACTGCCCAGGAAGGTGGTAGAGTCATCATCAACAGAGGAATTTAAGGAAAAAATGGATGCAGCACTCACTGCCATGATCCAATTGACAAGGTGATGTTCAGTCATAGGTTGGACTTGATGACTTTGAGATGTTTTCCAGCCTAAAAAATTGTGCGATTAATTGCATTAATTTCAAGAAGCTTACACACAGATTTGTGGGGTGGAAGACTTTTTGCTATTAATTTATTATGAGTGAATGTAGAGTGCTGTATGCTTAACCTGAAAGCATTTTTGATTGATGAATATAACAAAATTGGATTTGGACCTCAAGTCTGTGACACGAGTGAGAAAAAAATTCTGAGTTTTAGCAACTGTTCATTGAGTTTATGTCTAGCTGACCCTCCCTTCTGCTGGTATTATTTCAATGGATCACTCATTTCACCTGAGGTTTCCCTGCAGAGCTGTGCTCTGAGCACTTGACATGTGACACAGAGCTGAGATAAAGGCCTGGTCCCACATGGGCATCCCATTTCCCTGACACAGAGCGCTGAGTGAGATGGATTTTCAAGGGAGCTGAACAGAATGTAGGTGGGTGGCTGGGAATAACATGTTTACCCTTCATTTCTATCTTTGTTTCTCTCCACCTCCTCCATCTGTCTGACCACCTGTTGTTGGTGTCTGCTGCATCCTATCTTCAACAGCTGCAGAAAAAGTTCCTTTAGGATACCTTTAAGGTATGTAGGTGTACCCCAGATCTTCCAAGCCCACAGTGACAAGCAGCTCAGCAGCTGCAGGACTATTACTCTGCCAGTGAAGGTATTTGGAGATGCTGTGGCTGTGGGGGCTCATTTGATCACCTATTTTTTGTAGAACTACAGGGGGATGACCACTTTGGGACAACATTTATTTTCTGGATTGCACTACTGCATAGCTTGTCAGACTGTTGTGCAAAACTACTCAGAGTAGCTACAGCTGTGGAATTTGAAAGAATTTTTACTTTGAGACAGAAAATTGACATCCTCTTAAGTTTTATGGGGCACCTGTAATAACACTATTATGCACCTCAGCTAGAGAGAAGAGAAAATTGGTATCATCACAGAGAGAAGTGAACCTCAGAGATTACTCCTCTTGAAATGCTAAAACACTTTTTTATTAATTTTTACTTTTCTTAGCTATCTTTCTCAATATTTTTTCCATGCTAACTCTATGATGACCACACTAAATAAAGCTGATCCATATATAAGAGGAAACCTATTTTTTGCTCCTTGAAGCTTAGGAATGCTTTTAAAACCATTACTCAGACCTTTTGTTGACTATTTTCTTACTTTATGTCAACACAGACCTCTTATCTGCAATCTGGGGAGTATGTACAATGTGGGTCCCCTGTGGCAGCAACCTGGGGTATGGTTCCCTGCTTTGTCGATATATACATTCCCCTCACGGATTGCATTGCACCCCTCAGGTCACCCCTGCTTGTCAGTACTCCAAACTACTTCTGGTACATCAGGGGTGATACAAACCATTACTGCTCAGGGAGGGCAGGATTACACCATTTCTCATTTGCAGGTCTTTGGCTTTATTTATTAATATAATTTTTCTGGGGGGTGTCAGGGGACACCACCGCTGTGTAGATACTGATAAAGGAAAGATGGACATACTGTTCATGTTCTGTGTGGCCTAAAGTTTTGTTACACAAAAAAAACTGCTAAGAGAAATGTTACATTTATAGCTCTATTTTGGGTATTGACAGGAGAAAATTCAGCTGGTACATATTGGGCATTTCCATCACTTTTTGAAAACACAGGCTTTTCTGCCTAGAAATGGTGCACACCGTACCAGGGCCAGATGCGATTTCTGCCTTTCGAAACCAATGAATCATACACCTTGCACCTCTGGTAACTGTTTTTAACCCAAACTGCTGCAGGAGCTGAAGCATGGCCCGCAACACCCCCGAGCATCAGGCCCTTTGCTGTTGCTGTAAGAGACAGATTGGAACATTTCTGCTGGAGATTTTACACAGAATTAATTGCATATGAACCTCTCCCTGGGGAGGGGTGTGGGTGCAGCCCTGATGGCCGGTCCTGCCTGCTGGCCTCCCACCCTCCTCCACTGTGCTCCCTGTGCTGGGGTGATGCCTAAAGGCAGTACAGAATCTGAAAAATATAAAATACAAAACCTGAGGCATCCGGGTGAGGCTGGCAGTGAGCCCTTAGAGATTTGGGTCCCTCAAGATGTGAGGTCTCAAGATTTGAACGAAACTTTGCAATGGTTTGGTTTTTTTTCTCAGTTGTTAATCAGAAGCTGTAGCTGAACAGTTATGATTAAGTAATTGCACTGTGAATGTTGCATACTTGGCTCATCTTTTGTTTTGAGGAAAAGAGAAGACAATCCCAAGATGAATGGACTCTCTGGATGAGAGCTGCCAGGAGTGAAGTCAGCAGGACTGGGCAGTAAGTGAGGGGAGGTAATTCCAGCAGTGGATGACCATGACCACTGTCTCATTGACCACCAAACCCTGACCCATACCTGCAGTCTAAAAGGACTGTTCTCTTGGAGAAGCAAGAGATACAGCTAGCAATATGGTTTGAGTACTAATTAGGAGAAAAGCTGTACAACTTACAGCCAGCAAATGCTGATGCCTTTGTTTGTTAGAAGGTATAAGTACTGTGGAGGTTTGATGATCACAGAGCCAGCCTTTCATGGGTTACCTCCTGATTCCAGGCTTTGAGAAAACTAGAATAAAAGACAGAAATACAGCATCACAGAATCGTCAGGGTTGGAAGAGACTTTTGGAGATAATCCAGTCCAACACTCCTGCTGAGTCAGGGTCACCCAGAGCAGGTGACACAGGAACATATCCAGGTGGGTTTTGAACGGCTCCAGAAAGGGGCACTCCATAACCTCCCCGGAAGCCTGTTCCAGCGCTCGGCCACTCTCAGGATAAGGAAGTTGTCCGGAAAGCCAAGCGGAGGTGCAAAAAGCCGCGCCTCGGCCCGTGTTCCGCCTCCGAAACCCGCCCAGGGCGTGTGAGGGAAAGGGGGCGGGGCGCCCGGGGGGGGGTGCGGGGGGGGGGGGGGGGGGGGGGGGGGGGGGGGGGGGGGGGGGGGGGGGATGGGCTGGCGCCGCGCACGGGCGGGCCGGGGGCCGCTGGGGCGGGCGCGCTGCGGGGCCCAGATCGGCCCGTGGGAGAGGCGATGGTCGTGGCGCTGTCTCCGCAGGGAGCGTGCTGGACCAGAGCCTGGAGAGCCTCCTGCACCGCCTGCGCGGGCTGTGCGACAACATGGAGCCCGAGACCTTCCTGGACCACGAGATGGTGTTCCTGCTGAAGGGGCAGCAGGCCAGCCCCTTCGTGCTGCGCGCCCGGCGCTCCATGGACAAGAGCGGGATGCCCTGGCACCTGCGCTACCTGGGACAGCCCGAAATAGGCGACAAGAACCGCCACGCGCTGGTGCGCAACTGCGTGGACATCGCCACGTCCGACAACCTGACGGACTTCCTGGTGGAGATGGGCTTCCGCATGGACCACGAGTTCGTGGCCAAAGGGCACGTGTTCCGCAAGGGCATCATGAAGATCGTGGTGTACAAGATATTCCGCATACTGATGCCAGGAAACACGGAGAGCATTGAGCCGCTCTCCCTCTCCTACTTGGTGGAGCTCAACGTAGTCGCACCAGCAGGGCAGGACATTGTTTCTGATGACATGAGGAACTTTGCTGAGCAGCTGAAGCCTCTAGTACACCTGGAGAAAATTGACCCCAAAAGACTGATGTGATTGAAAATCTGGGCCATTAAGGCACTAGTTTTGTGTTTCAGAAAAGGATGTTTTTCTAAAAAGTTTTTGTGGGCAAATCAAAACAGGGAGAAGGGAATAAAGTACTATGTATCATTTTTCACAGTTGCAATTACTGAGTGTTTTTTTCCTTCACGTGTGAATATGAACAAACGTGGACACTTTACCACTGTTAAAAAAAAATCGGTGAATGTTAATAGCGATAGATGTCCTTCTCTTGCATGGGAGATTATCTCAACTTAAAAAGCCTATTGCCTAACACTATAAAAATGTCAGGCTTACTGGAATTCATCCCAATGCTGTCTTAAGTTCTTTTAGAGCACAATTTGTGTATTCTACTTAGCAATCCAAAATTTTTCTTTTCAGTAACAGATGAAGTTAATACCATTTAATGCAGGACGTGCTGTTTCACGCAAGTATAAACACAGAAACTGCTGTATAAAAAAGCAACTAACTGTACACCACTTCACCAAAGCTTATGTGACAGGAACTGGTACTTGTTAGGGAAACTGTTTCTTCTGATGTAATCAAAGTTAGAAGTGGAAGAAAATCTAGTAATATTAACCTGTACAAGTGGTTTTCACATCTTTTAATAGTGTTCCATTATTTTCACTGCAATTGGTTAGGACAGTTTTAGTTAATAAGAAAGTAAATTACCAGGTACTTTTTATTACTGGATTTCTGACAGCTGACAGCTGTATTAAATACTGAAATGTTAAGTGCTTTACATTAAAAAATTTATTCACAATTTTTCATTAAAAATTTATTACAAACAAATTAGAAGCTGCTAGTTGATTTACTGATGATTTTGCTTAGCACCCCTCTTGATAGTAGGATGGTTAATTACTCTAGTATTGCCATGATAATTCAGTGTTATTTGAATTAGATTTGAGAGTTTTCAAGTACAGTTCAGTCAAATAAAGGTCGGGAGAGATAAAGGAGCTCACACAGTGAGGCGTCACCAGCGTGACTGCTCATTACCTTGACTACAAGTATTTTCTGGTGGGTACAAACACTCCTGCAATTCTGCTCATACTTGGGCATGACTCGCCCTCACCAAAACAGCACACTATCCTGGGCCTCCAAGCTGGAATTCCTTCATATACAGGGCATAACTTCCTAGGAGCTGTGTGTGCCAGGCTGTTCCATGGCTGAATGGCAGTCTTATCCCAGCAAATGGGAATTGTCAGGGCTGTTGTCATATTTTGCTACTCTTAGCACTGGTTAAAAGTCACTGGCTACAGACTTGTACAATCTGTGGCTTATCTCCTGGCACACAAAAGTTTAGAAAGTCTTGTGGATGACAACAGGTCTAACTATCAATTGATCCAAATTAATAAATAATGAAAAGGTTTTTATTTTTAAGGAGAATGAGTTTAAACCCTAAAAACTGCAGCAATCCTCAGTACCAGGCTTCCTTATGCTGGCTGTAGTCCATGCATAGGAGAGGCAGGTGTGCAGAGGGAAGAGCTTACTGCATCAATGGCTACAGCCAAGGACACTTTCAGATTGCTAATGCTCAAAGTGTGTCCCTTTCTTCTAACAAAATGTATTTTTCGCCTCCTATACAACTTAGCTTGTCAAAGGTGGAGACAGAAGATGATTAGCGTTATTAACGCTCATCAATAAATTGCGTGTCATAGCCCTAATTATCATTCATCATCCAGGGTCAAATGATATTGTAGTTACACAGAAATGCTCAACCCCTCTACTGGAAAGTACGTAATTTTTTAATTAGGCACTTGAGGTATGGTACCATGAATGTGAAATGAGGCTTTTTTTTTTTTGGGGGGGGGGGGGGGGGGGGGGGCGCGGGAATTTCTTTTTGCCGGGTAAAATAGCTGCATTCTCCAAGGTCAGAAGTTACCTCAGGACTCTCTGTTTTTTGCAATATATTACAAGCGGCCTGTAACAGCTGAGCTTAAGTTTTGTTCCTGTTCAAGTAATGCCTTCTGTTACTTCAAACTGTTCCTCCAGTCCTGCATACCTGTAAGGTTTCTACAATTTTCCTGACTGGTATATAAAGAAGTAGAAATCACTGCATGAGAAATAAAGGTAGGATTGTTTTTGATCTATTAGGCACCACCTATTTCTACTGTTAAGAAAAGTTCTCATGGAAGCTTATCTCAGTTACTAAAAATTAATCTTATTTGGAAAAGCCGTAAGTTTATGCTTCGCACAACTTAGTCCTGAGTTGCTGTTCTTCCTCTAGAAGCTCCCAGAATCTTGTTATTCCATACAAATGAGGAGCTGACATACTCTGGGAAGTGCTCTTTATGACTACACTCTACCTGGAGCACTTTTTAACACCCCTCTGATTGCTTGCACAAAATGAGCTTGTCAATGTTTAAACTAATGTGGCATTCAGGTTTTCATCTTAGTGACCTCAGTAACACAAGTAAACTGCTTTCCTGTTAAATGTTTTCCATGCACTAGAATATTGTATATAATCTCATTCATGATTTAAAAGTTGGTTAAAATGTAAGGTTTCTCCAAACATTGGAAAGTTAAAAACAACAAGAACCCAAGATTTTTCTTCATAATTTTTAATACTTTTAAATTTTAAATACTGGTTTTAAATTTGTGATTGTAACATGTAATAGCCAACTTCTTTTAATTTTTAAAACTTATCATTAGGATCATAAAGCTATTATAGAACAGTTACAACTCTACACACTCAAGGTACTCAAAAATATGATTCATGTTTTAAGTCTGTAAATGAACAGTGGCAATTCAAATACAGCATTATCTGTACAACTTGACAAAAATACAGGTGGACAATCTGATTAAAGAGAATCTGCACAACTTCAGATAAGCCAGCTCAGCCCAATTAAGTAGAAGGTAAGGTTTTTTCAAAGTGCATCACATTTTTCACAGATAAATTTGTCAAAGATTTTCAGTTTCTAAGACAGAATAACAATGACCATCTCATCTTCATTCCCAGTACAAGTTCTGTCAAGTCATGTCCTTCAGATCTAGTTTGGCAACATCCAAATTCTCCAAAGAGATGCAGATATCCAGAGAACAATATCTGATGATTTTGAACTGGTTCAGCTTACAAAGCAACCATTCTAGAGTCAGAAGCTGCTTCTGCAAAGACAACCACAGCCGTGTTAACACTCTTGATCTGATAACAGGAGGAAATAACTCACAGCGCACACACCTGGCAGTGAATGACAAGAGGGATGGGCTCAAGAGACAGGGTAAATTGTACAAAACCATAAAAGCAACATCTCTTCCAGAAGGAAGGATATAATGGCTACTCACACAAGGACAATATATGAGAGGCCTACTGCCTTTTGAGATTACTTTTTCAGAGGTCCATTAATAATGATTTCTGAGTCACGTAACTCCTTCCATAGTCTTTAAAAAGCCTCTTACAAATCCGATTGGGCAGGGCTAGCTACAGTGAAGTACCAGTGCCTTTATCTAAAATTAAAACATACTCTTTACAAATAGGATCTGTAGTGTCGTTTTATTTACAGAATAAATTGCAAAAGTACATCACATTTAGTGCAAATGCAACTAATGATATAAGTTTATATACTGCTTTGTAAACTTTCCATACCTTTGTAAAATAAAGCTATTCTATTAAATTAATAAACTTGCCCGTGCTCCAACAATTACCAGAAATGGCAAATAAGGAGTTAAACTCTTTATATTTTGGACTTTTTTTTTAAGTTCCCATCAGTGGTTATGGTGGAATGTACCACTGCCTGGTTGACTGTAAAAAGATGACGTACATTTTGAGGTATAAGATTTTGTTTTTTAACATCAGTATATAAAATGCTCACTGGTGATATAGTAAAGATGTACAAATTTTCATCTTATTTGCCTTGCTAACATTACCATATAGGCACTTTTCTACATATTCAAATGGACAGAATAACTCTGTAATAAGGCATATTCCATGCACACCATTAGAGAAAGGCAAATAAAAAGGGAAGAGTTGTGGAGCATGAAATCTGCATGCGTGTGTAATCATGTGTTAGGTTTGGTTTCGTCTCTACAGAGAAGATGAACAGAGAAGTTTTTTAACACTGTGCAGATCATATTTACTCTTTACCAAATCTTCACTAAGTTACTGCATATCTCTTTTCAGGCACCTAGCACACTATATGACATAAATTTGACTTTCAGCTTTCTTTTAAAGAAAATATATCTGCAACTTTTTTCCTTAAGATACCCAGTTCAGTGAAACACCGAGCAGTTTCTGAAGAGTTTCCAACTATAGGACATGGATAAAAGACCTCACAGTCTGTACTAGCCTAACACAGTCCTTTCTTAACAAGTATCTCCAGAATCAAAGGCAGGCAAACACCTGACATGTAAATTTTCACAGCAGCTAAAGGGAACTTTCCAGTAAGAAGTATGCATTCCTGTATCTCTGATGGGTTTTGATCAAGAGGCAAATAATTTTCTACATGAACCTCATAGCACAGCTTTATTGAGATGAGGAAAACACATGCAGGATCTGAAAATAATGTACTCATCCTCAATCTAGACTGGGAATGTTGTTTTATATAACCCAAATTATTTCAATAAATATTATAGTGTACCTTCTCACAGCTTTGGGAAAGCCCCAGATATCATCCAAGAAAGCAGTCCACAGATAGCATGGACAGATGTCTCCTAGGGTTTAGGCAGTCTCTTGCCCTCTCATACAGAATCTTTCTAGGTATTTCTGGATCATGTTTAATAACAAAAATTATGCAGCACATATTACATAACTAAAAAATACAATAGAAATATAAAGATATCTGGAAAAAATAAAGCTTTTCACACTCTTACTCCTTCAGAACTGAAGATCGTCATAAGAGTAAGACAATAGAAAAGGCAAAGTCATTAAGGATATTGACAGCCCTCAGATATTAACTGGCATTTTATGTAACAAGATGATTCATTATAGAAATCAGCAGTAATGAACTGTGATTATACAAAGCAAAACAAAACCTGCCAACAAATTACCTAGATTTTACTGAAGCCACTCCTTTCAACACCCCCAAAATACCACACAGATTTTTGTGCATATAAAGCACATACAGTATGCTATATGTGCATTTGTCTCTTGTGCTTTTTACACATGCACAGAAACTGCATAAGTATCTTAGGAAGGTTGACAATGAAATTCTACAACTTGTTTAAAATTAACACAGTAGCCCATGTTGGTGATTCAAAGTTGTTATGCGTTTTTCTTCTTCTAAAGCAAGCAAATAAAAATAGAGCCATATACATGTTATCAATACATGTATTTATAATTACACACTGATTCAGCAAGAAAGTTAGCAGGAGAGAGCAATTGTTAAATATTCAGCCCCATGGTGTTGCAACACTTCTTCACTTCAGTATACAAAGCCTGGAACCTCGGCCATAAAAAGACTGTAGATCCTTCGTTCCAGCATGGAGTGCTTTGTGCATGGTCACTTCTCCAATGCGGAATGCTCACCCAGTCTTGTTCTGATTGCTGCAGGTAAGCAAAGAGAAGAATACAGCACTGAAAAGGTTGTATATTGACGTAAAATGAACTTGTTAAACACCTTAAGTATTGTCAGGACTGCTATGATCACGTGTTAACTTGTGATGCCCTGTTTCTAATGCTTTATGTACACTACTTCTCTAACAATTTTCATTTAAAATTGTGCATCATTACAGGGATAGCTGTCACAGAAGAATGAAACAACTAAGACTTTTAGTCTTAGTTGACACAGTAACTTTACGGAGTCTGACACAGTAAATAGAACCCAAAAATAGAAGTAACCTATGTCACACATAGAGTAAGTGATAGAGACTAATCTTCAGATATGACTGAATGATGCTGTAACACTAGCACAACTAAGCAGAATTCTATGAGTTGACATGACAGTTATAGAAAATGAAATATATAGCAGGAGTTGAAACTAGCAAAAATAAGTTAAGCCTTATTTAGCACTAAGGGGCTCAGATATCCTCAAAGTGATCAAGAAATCCTCTTCTAATTATATCATCTTCTACCATCTTCATTCTTCTATCATCATCTAACTGTTCAAACAACTTTAGATTAGCCAATAACCTATACGATGAAGAATATATCCATTAACTTCAGAAAGCACCTGGAAATCCCTTTTCTTTCCTAGGTCCATCAGAAAGCTTAAAAACTTAAGTCACAATCTTCTAAATACTCTAGTAATTCATGCTGGTCTGTCAGTGAAGTTCCATTAATAAAAATCCTAGGTCAAAACTATTTTGTCAGTATAAAAGAAAACTGAAATGTCCTCATAGTCTATGAAATATGCAATTTTAAGTAGAATTTAAGTTATAAAAACCTCATGAGGCTCTAGAGTAACTTCACTATGTATTTTTTCAGAACAAGTACAAAATGCCTGTGATAGCTGAAAAAAACAGTACTTAAAAAACCAGTACCTATTTTACTTCTATATAAATTTGACATGTATGCAAAAACTTGCAGAATGAACCAAGAAAATTCTAAGAAAACTAATGCTAGCTAACTTGTGCAGCTTGTACACACAAATTACATGTTTTAAAAAAGTATATTGCGTGCTAAAGCAAGTACTGAAGCCAAGCTAATAATGTAAGACATTCCTAGATTGCATACTTCCATCTGGCCTTTAAAATGGTGAATCAAGGATTTAAAAAGTATGTATACCTGCTAGTACTAGAATAAAATAGGCTTTCCTGCTGTCTTCTCTTGCACGTACGATGTAAAACGCTTTAAGAACTTTGGATATTCTCGTTTAGCAACTGCCCGTAACACTGATGCTGGTGCCCATCCTCCTGGGTTCACTAGAAGTAAACAGGAAGAAGGACATTAAAATAAAGCAACTCCACTACATGCTAAAAAAGTAAATTTTAGTTAATTACTTCTGTAACTCTTCCTGAAGTTAGAAAGAATAACCATCAGCAGATTTTTTATGCCCCTAGGCTTGTGTTGTAGCACTTTCTGTGTGCAATACTCAAGCTCAGTCCAGACCTAATGATGCCATTATTTAGAAAACATTAAATATGCTGCATGGTGAGTCTTGGGAAAATGCCTGAATAGAAGAAGATATTCTCTATAGCTTCCAAGAAACAAAGAGAAAGAGACTTGAGTGACTCCTTATTTCAAAGAAAGCAGAGTCAGTCTTAACTTTTCAATAATTACTGCATTTGCCTGGAGAACTGCCACACAGGCAACACCCTGCAAATGATTATAAAGCATTTAAACAAAATTAGAATTGATTTTTAATTACATTTTCATTCACAGGGAAAGTAAGTTGCTGAAAAAGCTATCACTTCCCATATAGTCACAGTTCAGAATTTGGCAGCGAAAATATACTTTTTAAGTAATTCGGAAACTTTAGAAAAAACAAAAAGCAGAGTGAGCTACCCTTGAAGGGTTTTGTAGCTTCAGGAGAGAAGATAGTAAGCATGTATCTCCAATACTACAATGCATTTCTAAATACTCGGTACAGCAACAATACAATTTGGCTTTGACAAGTTTTCAGTCAATACCAAGGATTCTATCAGCTAAAAAAAAAAATCAAGAAATGTAGACTAAATTATATAGCTTGCAAGCATCTTAATACAAAATATATTTACTCCTTCTTGGCATCAGGGGATAAGAGCTGTATCTTTACTATCAGCAGCTTTTCAGCCTAATGAGATGAATTGGGAGAAAAAAAAAATTACAGTAGTACATGAAAAAAACATGACATACCATTACTGAAAAGCTATGCCAACTCATTCCAGTTATAGACATTTCTGCCCACCTTCCTCCACCTCAAGGTTATGTACTTAAGGCTGAGCTACACAGCTCTTTCATTTATTCCTCCCAGAGTACCACATAATGAATGATCCCATTCATCAGTTCATGTAGCACCTTAATTTGAGACCTTTTGAACATGATGAACACAAAGGTGATGCTATATATAGATATAATAGAAAAAGGAAAAGGCATCAAGGGCAAAGGCTTTTTTTTTGGTGCCAGTGTTCAACTCTCCAAAATGAACATCTATCATGATTGTCATACTGGAAAATTTTATACTTACCATTAGCTACATATGTAATCTTGCACAGAATGTTGTCCCTGCTTATCTCCTTGTTGCCCTCTGGTGGGCTTACTAACGTCTGACAAATCATTGCAATATTTATTTTGGCACGGACACAACGATTGTTCAGCTGTCAAAAATATGAAACATTGTAAGCTTTAAATTACATTTGTTTCAGCATACTTGAGCATGAACATCTTTTCATCATGAAGTCTAAGACACTCTAGAAGCTGTGTTTCTTAGAGTCTACTTTCTAGCATTTACATGGATTTAACATGAAAGTGAGTCAAGTGAAAGATATATGGTGGATAGGGAAAAGATCTTAAATGTCTGAATCTTAGGTTTCTGCTTACTTAACAAATTATAAGTGAATTACTTCAACTGTTGTGACAAATCAGTAAAGAAACATTTCAAGAATAATGTATCAGCATTTACAAATATCAGTTAACTTTTCCCTTGAAAGCTGTGGAATAGCAATCAAAGGAAAACAACCATTCCTATTATCTCATAGAACTAAGGCAAAACTGTGTAAAATGGAGACTTAACCCTATCTGTAATTATACAAACCTACTCTTATATTTGACAATGCTGAAGAGATACTGATTTGATACCACACAAAATAACCTCAATTCTTTAAAATGTTTTCACATCTCCAGAAATTTTGCTTCCATTCTGCTGTAACAGCTTAGATCATTCAACTGAGAGGTAAAGCAATAAAGCTTTTGGCTAGGAATGCCTTCATCAAGTCGTTTTACCACCTGGTTTAAATCAACTGTATTTTTGCAAAAACCCTCCATCACCCATGCACTAGTACTGCAAACGCATTACCATGGAAGAGAAAAACTACCTTAAAAGCAGAACTTCACAGAATCAAACTAATACTTACAGGAGCACTGTCATGTTCTACAGAGAAATTGCACACAATCCATGTTTCTGGATCATTTTCACTGAATGCTGGTATCTTTCTGATCGCAGACAAATACAGCACATCCCTTTGAGAAGCCGGCCACACTCTCTGCAGAGAAACACCTGAACATAAGCTTTCCCAGGTTTAACTACTATCCTTAGTTTAAATTAAAAATCAAGCACGGCAAACCAGTTATATTATTAAGTTAAAGTGATTTCATTCTGAAAACTGAAAGAGAACTGTTGTAAATAGGGAACAGAAATTTCAAGTTGGCTACACTTCATATGAAAAAAATTAAGGCAAAACTTTAAGGCCTTTGAAATACAGAGCACTAAACTGAAATGAATTTTTCAGTTAAAAATAGGAATAAGCAGTTACACTCCTGAACCTCAGGTTTGTGTTTATTTTCCACAACATGGAAATTTTCAATTGTTGCTAAAAGGGGAGGGGGATGGGGGGAAGGAAAAAAAACCACATCAGTGAACAGTCACAGACAATAGGACAATGCTATAAATACTATTCTTGCTGATAAACCTTCAAAGCTGAAGAACCAATGCCTTACTTTCCCAGTCATTACGAACATCAACATTCCAGAAGTAGTGGCAAACTTCATGCCCTGTTACCCCTTTAACAGCATGGGTTGCTTTCAAAGGATCTAGAACTATTCCATTTTCTTCCACTTCTCGTCTGTATACCTATAGCCAAACACAAAGAAAGATATGTAGGTCAGAAGCTGTCAAAACTGTTCATGTTTTAGTTGCTTAAATTTAATCAGTCTAAAAAAACCTGAACTAACAAACCACTTACCTATAAGCTTACCATGCAAATAATTTGCCATTAAAGTGTTCTGTGGAAACATCCATTGAAGACATTATTATGTGGCAATTCATATTAAAATACCAGTTCTTTAAGGTTTCTACTCCAAAAATTATTAAGCTAGCTTGTTTATTACTATCCAGACGGATTTATAATCATGGTGGAGCAGCCAACACTGCAGCTTGTTACTCTTGTTATTTCTGTACACAGAATTGACACATTTCTTTGACATCAAGCTTTAAGTAGGAGAGAGTGAGACAGGAATTTGTAAAGATGAATCTATTGCAAGAGTTACACAGAATTTTGTATGAATAAACAGATTAGAAGCCACAGTTCTCATGGACTCCAGTCCCAACCTAAACAGTGCTATTCCCAGAGAGAAGCTACAACAGCATAACTTGCTGATTGATAATATTTTCAAAAATCATAGAATGATTCAGGTTGGAAAAGACCCTTAAGATCACAGAGTCCAGCAGTAAAGATAACACTGCCAAATGTACACTGGAAGTATCTGTTTTCACAGTGTATCATCTTATAAGAATTAACCAAACCTGAAACATTTACCTTCATTTCTCCTTCTTCTACCACTAGCTGCCAATTGGCATCTCCTCCTACATCTTGCAAGGAATACGTCATGTGGTTTTGTACCATCTCTTCCACCTGTAAAAGAAAAAACCAGGCATTTCTAACTCATTCCTTCCATGTTTTTGGGGAGATACTGTACAGCACTGGAAGTCACAAGTTAATACTTCAATTCCTGTGCAGGAGCTGAATTTGAACGAGAGTGTTCTCTGTTAGGTTAGGAACAAACAAATAATGCTGGCCTTCGGAAACAAAAGCCAAAATCTTGATTTAAATTCCAATTTCAGCCTTTGTCACTACTTCCTAGCCTGCCTTAGTGCCTTTAGTGATGTCAAACCTCATTACTTCCACCTAAAACAGTTCTTTATTTCAGCAGATAGAAAATGCAAGTATCTCTAAATGGAATTACAATGCACTGTAAGATATTCACTGAAGAGCATTTTAAAAGTTCTGCAAAGGCAGGGAGGGGATTAGGGAGGAAAACTGACAAGCTCTAAAACCAAATGCACATCAAAAGTCATATTGGAAGAGAAGTGAAGAAAACAGTCACAAGCAAAGCATGCCTCCTCTGTTTCAGAGGCATCTTTGCACAGCTGACAGCTAGAAAAAAATCAGAAATGCCCAGACTCAAAAGATTATGGTGGTAGAGAGATTCTATAATTACAAAATGCTAATTTAAAACTTATTTTGCTAGCAGCTGTGCCTTTTTTAACAGCCAAATATTTGCTATATTTGTATAGTTTTTCACAAGCTATGTGAATATCTTATTTTTATTCCATACAATATGCATGAAAATGGGTACTGGGACAGGCAGATGATGCTTATTTTAGATCTAATATGTTATTCTATTGCTTTGGTTGCCCACCCTTTTCCTAATTCCCCAAATAAAAACAGAAGCAAAATCATAGAGTATCCATTGCTGTGTAATGCTTCAAGTATTTGAAACACTTTAATAACTTTTTTCCACCCAAAAGATAGATGACTACTAAAACTTGTGACAGAAAGCAAGTCCACACGATTCACAGCATTCTCCTGAACTACTAGAAACACTTCTTTTTTTCCCCAGAAGGAAAAGCACTACAAACAAAACTAGTTAATTGACCAACACAAAGCTTAGTTGAAGAAGTGCACAATCACAAAATTAACGGTCTGAAAAATTAACAGGGTGCTTTTGCACATCTTAAAAAATATGAAGCCTAGTGTGGAGTAAAATATGTAAGGCTTATTTGAGCATGTATGCAAACAAGTAGACAGCAAAAGTAATATTAACTAATCTTTTTTTAATATGATACAGAATTGCAGGACGTTATTTACTTTTAATTCAAGGCAGTAATTTTGTTTGTACTATGTACTCAACAGACAATACATTTAAGGCCAGAAAGAAAAAAGGTAACTGAATCTAATAAAACTCTAGAATCACAACATGAAAAAACAAAATCCATTGGATGGAAATCCTAATTTGTTTTAGTTTAACTAAGCATAGACTTATCTAGACAAGGCAAAGTTATCAATCCAGGTTTTGGGTGCTCTGGTTCTGAGCTTCAGTGAAAAGCATCACCAAGACTTAAGTTTCAGCTTCTAGACAAGCCAACTTTTGCTGCCAGTTACTAGCAGGTTTCCTACAAAAGTTTCTTCCCTTTTTTTTTTCCCAGTGACAAACCAGGTAAGAATGTGGGCTACTTAAATATTTAATGATTTAGCTCTAGGTCATACTGCATTAAGAAAGGAATCCTTGCTATGCTCTTAACACATACTTGACACACCTTCAGGCTCTTTTGTGTTTTCTATCCCACTTCTTAATTTATTCAGGAAAAAGTTACATTTATACATTTACTTTTGTCTTCTGATACTTTTTGCTTTATGTGCTAGATACAAAGGGATGAAGGAAATATCAAGGAAAGAAGAGAATGAGGCACCCACAGGAATGCAATCTGAACAGACACCTGCTTACCAGGAAATGCAGTATTTACACAACCTGCTTGTGCACATTGTCTGTTCAAACTGTATTTAGTCTATGCACTGGTCACCATCTGTCAACTTGCACCAGTTTCAGAGGCATAGTCAAGATCCAAAGATTCTCTCCCACCTGACAGGCTCACTCTTACCTCTGGGTTCCCAGCTGGCTACAAGAACGGTCTGCAAAAATACTTGTGACCTGTATGCCATACAGCCTTGACCTGAACTTTGAGTGGCAAGTTTTTCCCTTTTAAGGGCCTAAGAACAACTCAGAACCTATTATAAAGCTGACAGATCTTTAAAAGAAAGTAATCTGAACTCCCACTCAACTGGCAGAGACAACAATGCCTTTCTAGAGACACACTGAAGAAACAGCTCCCATCAGAATACATGTTCATATTTCTCAGTCTTAAAAACAGGGTTGCAGGTTGCTACCTGACCTTTTACTGATACCAACATTTCCTTCATTCACATGAAATCTAGGAAAAAAATCACATTTATTAAGAACCAAGATATTAGTTTTCCTTCCTAAAGCCAAACTGTCAGCCTGGGAACAGAAGCCAATTTTAAATACATTTTTAATAAAGTCCATAGCAGGTAGAATGAAAAGGTCTGCTATTCTCATCATGCTCTCTGTTGTTTTGTTCTGTAGAACTGAAACTCTAGAGCAGGTGGAGTGACTTGTTAGTCCGGCAAAAATTTGTTTTAGGGAAAATACTTGGAGGGTGGAACTGCATGTGGGGATATTCATACTTTCTGTAGTGAGTCCATTAACTTGAAACTGGATTAGGAGGCACTCCATAGTAACTTTCATGTAGTACAATCCACACAGCAGGCAAAAAGAGCAACTTTACTCCAGTCCATTAGATCCTGATACTTAACCACAATTTGCATTATAGATATAACGATCTAGTCCACCTCAGGTATCTTTGCAAGTGATTAGTTCTGCAGTCACAGTGGTACTCTACAACTCAGGTTTATCGTATGAATACAGAAATGTTATCACAGGCATACAACAGGTGCAAATGAGGACACGTGCATACCTTGGAAAATATAAGTTCCCCTTATGCTGAATGATCTCTGCAACCACAACCTGACAGAGTACTAGTTCCTGTCTTGGCAATCAAACTTGCTTTGTATTACTTATTACTCCCTTACTTTATTATCCCCTCACTTTATTACCCCTCCTCCCAAAGAAAAAACAACTTGGAAAACTAACTCAGCTACTGGAGTGCCAGTAGATGAGCCTATCACTGTTGCGCAATAGGACTTGCATACTTTTTCCCTTGCAGTAAGTTCAGATTTCAGAAATAAAGTGACTGCAAAAGGTCTTGGAATTTTAGTCTACTAGGCAAGTCCTTAAGTGTTGGTTCTGCTCATGGAGCTGGTAGTAAGGTCTGCAGGTAATAAAATTCCAGGCTGTTAAAAAAAATAAAAATCCATTCACTTTAGGAAAAAAAAGATTGGTCAGAGCTTTTAAAAAGCCTCCAAAAGAGCAGATCCCAGAAGGAAACTCCATATTCACCACCACATATGGACCACAGAAGGAAAGAAATAGCATGAATAACAGATCTGAACTATTGTTTTGGAGTTTAAAAAGCAACGCTTTTCTAATCTACTCTAATTCTACTCTAAACTACCATCTTCCTAGTAAGTACTTAAAGTAATTTTGTACATTACTGGAATATGTCACTATGGCAACATTGACATATTCAGGATGTCGGACTTAATTTCTGAAGGACAAGTGATACATGAACACTTCAATATGATCTGTCATACCCACAGTCTTGTTGGTCAACATGTTTAATGGCCTTTAGGTAATCAAACTAGCCACAGAAGTAAAAAATGGTAACAGTGAACCATAAGACTCAATGTATTAATATCATTACATATTAACACTTCAGACAAAAATCAAACCTTTGATTTAAAAGCCAGAAAAACTATTCAATCTGAAGAAAAGACCATCTCCAGCCTCTGTAAAACATGTTATTCTACTTTCATTATAACTAGAGATACGAAATTTTCAAACTATAGACATCTTTATTAAAGCTACCTAAGTAAACCAAATAGTTTCACAAGATTTGGGCCTCTGCACAAGTGGTATGCATGCAAGCTGGATGTAAAGAAAGACAACCATTTAGTACAGGAATAGAGAACTCCTTTGTTTGTCTCAATGTACCAGTTTAAAGCAAGCAGTGACTGACGTAACAAAAAAAAACAAAAAACAACAAAAAAAAAACCTAGGTTCTAGAGAAAAGGATGATATAAAGATATGTAACCCCCACTTGACACATCAATACAGTACCTGGGCGCTGAATCTGTGAACATCATCAGAGGCACTGACTAGATCAATGGAAGACATGGAGGAAGAGCGACTATAGGGCTACCAGAGACAGACAAAGAAAAAACCAAGTAATCAGAACAAAGGCACAACAGAGCGTTCAGTACCAACTTGCAAGCACAAGATAATGAAGAAAAGGAAAACAAAAGCACCATAAGCAGCAAGCACAGCAGCAAATGCTGATTTCATGCACCTATTATATATTATTCCCTGAAGTGTATTAAAAAAAATGAGTTAGTGAAGTAGCCAGGCAGAACAATGTCTTTCCTATTCCATATATCACTGAAGCATAAAGAAACTTCAGACCAATTATTATATTTTGAGAGACAGCTGAGATTTTGAGTAGTATTTGATATTTTTATCTTAACAGTGCAGCAGTCACATATAGATAATTTTCATACAGGACATTTATTTAGGAATTAGAAACTAGAGACATTCAATAAACTCAGCACTTATACTATTATTTTCTAGACAAGCTATGAAGTTACTTTCTCAAAATTAATATTAAGCAACAGTATTTTATTGTAAAAATAGTAAGGGGAATTCCCTGATCAGTGTCAGAATAAATTAACTAGAGCTTTAGGAGATACATCTCAGGACAGACTGTAAGATGCAGAAGTCTCTCAGGAAGTGCTCATCATTAAGATATTTTTCAAGTTTCAGTACCTGTTCTTCCATTTTATCCTGTCTGTCAAGAGCAGCTTCAACAGCATCAAAGAATTCTTCTTCATTAATCAGACTATTAGGACCCTCCTAGAGCATAAGAAAAAAACTCGTTAAAAATCTTGGAGACATAAAAGTTCCACTTCAATTTAACATTAGAAATACATTTATGTTTTACATGTAACTGATGAAGCAAATTTCTTCTACAGATCTCAAATATTTTCACCAATATTCTTAGATTACAAGTTCTCTGAAAACCTTTACTTGTTAAATGAAGTGTCCTCCTCTAACAACAATTTCATGATAGTTACATAAAGAAGGAAAAAAAAAAACCCAGGAAAGTGAGTAATAGTGTCAGTATGCTTTGACTCCAAATTTAGGACTTAATTAATAAATGTCTTCTCTTGAAAATGTTTACAGTGTCAGTAAAGTACATCTATTAACATAACCATGGAGTTAGACTCCTTACAAGTATTTCAGTGCCTTACAGCACTGACATTCATGTGTGTTCAAAAATACAACAAGGGAAGACATAATGTTGGGGATCTCTATTGAAAATTCTTGGAAACAACAGTTTAACACTAAACAGCAGGTAGAGTTAAGTCAAGGACTGAAAACTCTAGTCTCCTAATTAAAATGATAATTCAATAAATTTAGGTTTACTTCTTTTACTGTATTTTAAAACAACCTAGTCCTGCAAGTTAAAAAAAACACCCAAAACTATGTATCAGCAGTGATAGAAGCAGCTGGGTTCATAACCAAGTAGACAAAGTTCAACTTCCTATTTATTTAATTCTTTTACAGTGAATGTCTCAGTGACAACAATTAATCTAACGTCAAGTACCTTGAATAGCTGTGTAGTTGTATTGCTGTTTCTCAGGCTGTGATTTGAAAGTAGAAACGTGTTTCATTAATGTATGTGAAGGGGTCAAGCTTACTGTATTACAGGTGCACCAGCTTACATTAGCGTGGATGCCTCATCTGTGGAAGTGTTCAAGGCTAGGCTGGATGAGGCATTAAGCACCCTGGTCTACTGGGAGGAGTCCCTGCCCATGGCAGGGATATTGGAACTATATGATCTTTAATGTCCCTTCCAACCTAAACCATTCTAATATTACTCCTCAAAAGTTGGTTTATGCATCTTAGGCTAGAACTAAATACCTCACTGAGGAGAACTTAAACCCTGAATTTGAAGGCACAGTATTTCAAGTGGCCGTGACAAATTAAAAATCAGTTAAAGTTAAATGTCATCTTCTAGGACTGACTCTGCTGTCAGAGTTTTCATATTTTTGTTTTACTTATCTCTACAGCTGAACAAATAAAAAGGTAAAGTGCAATTACATATAAGCGGTATCAAATGTATGAGAAAGTAAGAAATAATCAACAGAAATATCTGTAAGAAACATACTTCAGACAGAAGCAAAACAACAAAGGTTAAGATATACTTCCACTCAAGAAATTAAGGACTGAGATTCTTCATGCAGTTTCAGTTTCCATGGTGAAAAAGCACGTTTGGCATGAACACACTTGTAAATCATGCTTGCACCGGCTTTTGAAACTTCACTTTCCCTCTTTAAGAAACAGCCCAATCTTAAAAGTGGATTGTGTTAGTGTAGCAAGGTTTTGGTAGCGGAAGTGGCTACAGGCCTGGCTTCTGTGAGAAGCTGATAGAAGCTTCCCCCATGTCCAACCGAGACAGTGTGAGCTGGCTCTAGGATGAACCTGCTGTTACCATTGCCCACGGCCATGCCCATCAGCGACTATGGTAGCATCTCTGGGATAATGTATTTAACAAAGGAAGAAAAAAACTGCAGCTAGAGAAGAGTGGAGTGAGAGTATGTGAGAGAAAGAGCTCAGTAGGTACCAGGTCAGTGAAGAAGGAGGGGCAGGAGGTGCTCCATATGCTGAGATTTCCCTGCAGCCTCTGGTGCAGACCACAGTGAAGCAGCTGTTCCCCTGCAGCCCATGGAGGGTCCATGGAGGGGCAGAGATCCACCTGTAGCCCACTGAGGAGCTACTGGAGAAGGTGGATGCTCAAAGAATGATGTGATCCTGTGGGAAGCCCATACAGGAGCAGGCTTCTGGCAGGACCTGTGGCCTCATGGAGAGAAGCTCATGCTGGAGCAAGTTTAATGGCAGGACTGTGAATCCATGCTGGAACAGCCTGTTCCTGAAGGACTGCATCCTGTGAGGAAGACTCATGCAGAGCAGTTCATGAAGAACTGTAGTCCATAGAAAGGACTCATGTTGGAAGAGTTCATGGAGAACTGTCTCCTGTGGGAGGAATCCCACACTGGAGAAGGGTAGAGTGTAAGGAGTGCTCTTTGTGATGAGAAAATACTGGCAGAGACAATGTGAGATGAACTGACCACAACCCCAGTTCCTTTTCTCTCTGCACAGCTGAGGGGTAGAAAGAGAACATCTGGAAATAAAGTTAAACCCAGGAAGAAAAGAGGGGTAGGGGAAGGGTGGTTTTTAAGGTTTGATTACTAATTAAGCAGTATTTCCTCAAGTTGAGTCTGTTTTGCCTCTGTCAGCAATTGGTGAGTAACCCTTCCCTGTCCATATCTCAACCCAGAAGACTTCCATTATATTCTCTCTCCCCTGTCCACCTAAGGGGAGTAGAGGAGTGGTTTAGTGGGCACTTGGCATCCAGGATCAACCCACCAGAAAAAGTCACAGTATTATAAAAAATTTCTAAAGTGAAATTCATACCTCATAGTCTGGCCCTCCGAAGTGGGACTTTTTCTTCAGTTCTGTCACGGCATTTTTGTATGCTTCTTCAATTCTTCTCCTTTTCTCTGTCTCCTGTAAAATTACATAAACATTTGATGCAGCAAAAATGAAATGTCAACATCCCAATAAATGGAATGGCCAGGAGTAGTGTTTTTTCCAAGCAGCAACTGCAAAACTGATGAGTTTCTGAATTTATTTGCATGTATACATTACATGTGCTGATATATACATATATATAATAGAAAGTCTGGGGAACTAGCTACCTTGAGGATACTTTCTAAGTCATGTGGAAGAAACCAGATCAGCAAGCAAAAACTGGTTTCTAGATTAAGCATAGCTGTTCATGCTTCACTGGGAGTCATACTTTGTATCTGACACTTCATATAAACTTGCTTGACACAGATACCTGGGCAGGGATAACAAAGGGTAAAACAAAAAATGGTAAAAAGCTAACATGCTGAATGTAGTGTACACTTAACAGTTTGTATATACAATTAGGGCAACATGAATAATTTTGTGGACTCCATGCAGAGAGTGCAACTTGATATCCTTCTTCCGTAACAGGCTGTTTAGGAGCCAGTCTATGTAGAAACCTGATGGTGGCTATATCATTGTCTATTTCAAATAAAACAATTGTAATGCCAAAATCAGACTAAGTCTAATATTGCCTCTATAAATTCTGCATACTGCCAGATACTTTCCATGAAAAAGCTATAAACACTTCTGAAATTCTTGCAAAAATCAGCTTTTTTTGCAAGATGTTTCTCTGACCCCTTTCAAAATCACTTCAGCTGAAAGCAAGTTAAGTCTAACAGGTGGACATCACACTTCTTGCAGATATGGGTTTAATTATTCAGCAATCCAAACTGAAATTTAAAGATTCAGTGGAAAACCCTGAAGCAATACTGAAAAGCTGAGTTTACTAACTGGGAATTTGGTGGTAACATAGCCTCAAACACATTTTCTAGTTTCCATTTAGGCAACACTTTTGATGTAGAACAAGGCAGTATAGTTTTCTACACAAACACAAAAAAAAGCACTTTGATGGAGATAATATTGTCCTTAACTGTGACTGTAGGCTTTTTCATTCTGAAACAATTAAAGAGGCAGTACCTGCTAACAGATTTCATAAAATTTTGCATGTTTATCTTTTTTGAAAGGAACTGGAGAGTCCTGAAGATACATAAAACATGACTTGAGTATAAGTCACTGAAAAAAGTGCAGAAATGTTACCAGACTTGGAATGAAAAACAAAACAGACCCCACCCAAAACACAACTCCTTCTCCCACTCACCCCAAATCCCAAATCCCCACACCTTCTGTAGTTCAATCTTCAAATTAGTTAAAATTCACGTGTCAAAATATGACTCTCCAAATTTTCCAGCTTCTCTTGGCAATAATATTAGAGAAGGCAGAAACAAGAACAGAAAAATGCTGCAGCACTCAAGACAACATGAAAAGCATTATCACAAAGACTTTGTTGCCAGTAAAACAGTGGATCAAATACTAATGACAAAATCCTTTGTATATACAATGTGTATACATTTTAAGAAAAGCCTGTTTTAAAATACATTCAATGTATTATATACTGCACTGGAAACAAAAAGTCAAGATCAAGATCCTAAGAGCTAAGCATAGAAGATGGAATGAAAAGCTGTAACTACAATAACTTTAGATAATACTACACGCTTCACATCAATTTCATTCTGGACATTTGACTATTTTGGTAGTGAAAGAAAACTAACCACAGAATCTATACTTCTATCATCTCACAGTATTTACTTTTTAGAGACGTTTACAGACAGATTCAAGAAAATTGAAAGTACAAAGATCTACACTATTCTCATCCCACCATCTATCATATGGAAAGCAATGTCTTTTGATCAGGCCCATAGTTATAAAAGTTACTCTTAAAAAGTGATGTTTAAGCACTAAAATGAAAAGATAAAAACTAAACCAAAAGCAGCTCTACCACTGTGGAATAATGGTAACAGTCAATTGCTGTAGGTAGGCATCAAGGTGCTGCTCACGTGGGTAGCATTTGTGGGAGGAGACTGGGGCTGCCTTGTGGCAGACACAGGCGGCTCTTGCCAGCTCCAAAACAGACTCACTGCAACACACAGTTTAGCCCTAACACCATGCATGTGACACTTCTCTGAGGCAAAAAAAAAGGAGTAAAATACACTCTGTGCAGAGAAGAATTGGAAGAAAAGGTGAGAAATCACAGAGGAGATGCCAAGTACCAGGGGTACTTCCTGAAGAAACCAGATCCCATGAAGGATCCACACTGCAACAGATTTTTTTCCAAGAGGGCTGTCAGCAATGGAGGCACTAGAGCTACTTGCACTAGAGCTGGGAAAAAACTATGAGGAAGAAGGAATGGCAAAGATGAAGTTTTGGATTAATTGCAAACGCTTCATTCCTCACCCTGCACTGCCTGCTGCAGTTATGGAACATACTTCCTTAAGTGAGAGCACACAGCACATACTGGACAATCAGCCCAGCCAGCTGGGGTTTGTGAAAGGCAGGTCCTGCCTTACCAAGCTTCTTACCAAGCTTCTATGAAAGGGTGACCTGCTTAGTGGATGAGAAAACAGAGAAAATGAGAATGAAGAGAGTTGGAGAATGGAGAAAAGAAAATGAAAATCCTGGAGAAAATGGCTGAGTATACTCTTCACTAGTTAAGAAACATATGTCTGGGTGGCTGGGCCAGATAGTGGTGGTGAATGGAGTTACATCCAGCTGGTGGCCTGTCACCAGTGCTGTTGGCAGGGCTCAATATTTGGACAAGGTGTGGTTCATATCTTTGTGAATGATCAGGACAAGGGGATTGAGTGCACCCTCAAGTCAGTTTGCAGGTAACACCAAGCTGGGTGGGAGTGCTGATCTGCTGGAGGGCAGGAAGGCTCTGCAGAGGGATCTGGACAGGCTGGATCATGGGCTGAGGCCAGTGGTGTGAGGTTCAACAAGGCCAGTGCTGGGTCCTGCCCTTGGGTCACAGCAACCCCAGGCAGTGCCACAGGCTGGGGCAGAGTGGCTGCAAAGCTGCCCACAGGAAAAGGACCTGGGGGTGCTGCTGACAGCGACTGAACATGAGCCAGGGAGTGCCCAGGTGGCCAAGAAGGCCAATGGCATCCTGGCCTGGACCAGCAATGATGCGGCCAGCAGGAGCAGGGCAGGGATTGTCCCCTGTATTCAGAATGGGTGAGGCCACACCTCAAATCCTGTGTTCAGTTCTGGGACCTTCAATTCAGGAAGGACGTTGAGATGATGTCCGGAGAAGACCAGTGGAGCTGATTACATCTTCCACAAGTGCTTTAAAGCTAGTTCACAAGACAACAAAAAAGTGACAAATCTCAAACCTAAATAATTTTATATTTTAAAATATTATTCTTTATTAAAATATACTGAACTACAGGCAAGGAACACATGCTATAATGAAAGTCTCATCAACACAAATGAAGAAAATGAAGAGTGTTTGTCCAGTACAGGGAAGGCTTCTGCTGTGGCATCTGAAAATATCTTCCAGTATTTCAAGAAACTAATAAAGAAACTGAGCCAGTGTCCTCACAGTTTACAGGAGAAGGCTGGAAAATAAGCTTCAGATACTGGTATAAAAGTTTCTCCAACAGGATGCAAGGCAAAAAATTTTCACTCTAACAACAGGAGTTGTTAGATGAGGAACAGACTTAGAAAAGCTGGGCTGTCGAGAGTCTTGATACAGCCCTGAGCAACCTGGTCTGACTCAAACTGTCCTTCCTTTAAGATGAAGGTTAGAGCAAGAGAGAGCTCTTGAGGTCTCTATCCAATCTGAACTCTCCTATGATCCTAGAAACAAGTCTTGGACCTACTGTAATTCTTCCAACACTCAGCTGAACCAGTAATGAATTGTTGTCAGAAGTCACAGTACAGTCACACAGGGCCAGGCCACTGACATATGCACAAACAATACAGAAGACAGGGTCAGGGATTCAAATATGGGTATATTTTGTCTGAATATATTCATCCTTTGAATCACTATATATCACTATATAGAGTAAAATTTGATACATGGTATAAGCCACATCAAAATGCGTAACGAGAACAGAAGGACAGCTGCAGTGCACGCCAGCCAGTAATGGCAAGATTCTAGAAATTAAAGCCTGAACTCCAACCTGCCATGCCTCCAACAACAGATCTCAGACAAGAAGACACTGCTCCTTTAGAGCTGTTACACTGGTTGAGTAGGTTCAGAATGAACTATCGCTGCCTAGAATAACAGATACTCTAACACGACACAGAAGATTTAACCGATTAGTATAAAGTATAACTTAATTTCACCCATCTCCTAGAGGACAGTGAAATAATTTTATCTTGAGGAGACATATACAGTTAGAACTGTTGTTCTTCCCAGTGTTGTCACCATCTCTTATCATATTAAAACATTTCACAGACTTGCACATCATTTTGCATACATGGATAATTAGGTCTATGTCAGAAGGCTGTAAGCAATACACTTACTACTACGAGATAATTTCAGGCTCTTTATAGATATAAAGAATACAGGACTACTATCTGAGTAAGTGCTGTGAAAAAAGACTATGATGAAAAGAGCAACTATAATACCAGTCAGAACAAGGCTCCTTCACATTTTACAGGGTTAATAATTTAAGCACCTGAAATTAATAAATGCTGTACATAAAAATAAAAGCAGTAGTTTGAGTACAAAAGTTAGTAACAGCTTATTTGAAATTTCAATTTCAAGCTAAAGAAACTTTTTTTTCCCAACAAAAGTAAAAGGAAAATTATCTTACCTTATCTAGCCTTTTTTGCCAGCTTTCTTCACGTTTTACCATGAGTTCAATACAATGAGAGAGTGTAGCAAGGATTCCAGCAGTAGTTGCCTTGAAAGTTATAGCTTCTCCTTTAAAGTCTATGCCATTAATTCCTTTGGGTGTCACATGTGGAAACACTAAAAACATATATATGAGATCACTGATAGCTGCCCTTAACCAAACAATCACTTCACACGTATGTGTTATATCTGAAGACAACAGACTGGCTACAAACTTAATTTAAAAATAAAAATCTAAAGTGATAATAATGTCCACAGTTAGCCACAGGATAAAGAAAAATACTCAAAAGGCGAAACAGATCCTTGCAGCTTCATCTTGGTGTACTGTATTTAAAGCCTGCTTGTAATGCTGTATTACTCTGCACTCTGCAAATCATGTGGGTGGAGGGAGTGGTAATAGTTTGTAACAATAGCAGTTTGACAGCTTGAAATGGGGCCTAATTAACACAGAGCAACCTTAAAACGTATCAGACTCAGCACTAAGAAAGGAACAATTTCAAAATGTCATCAAATCCAAAATGTATAATTCAAGGTTCTTTTAAGCACATAATTACAAATTTTAAAACCTAAAAGTAAAAAGGTATAAGATAAAAGCATGAAATGTGATGAATTTTCCAAGTACTGTAAGTTTTACAGTTCCAAGAACTGCTTCATGCTGTCAACCAGGCCATCTGTTGCTAAGGCTATTTAAACAAGTCATTTAAAATGTGTGCAGAAAAAAGTACCTATTATATGTCACACTGGTACGTAGGTTGACATAATAACATATCAAGCACTGCACATGAATGTCAGAAAATATTACAAAGCAGAAGTAACATTCAAGTTGAAGCTCACTGAACCCAGCAAGTTAAAGTAACTCCTGCTATTACCAAAGAGCAAGCTCATGACTTATCACCTGGACTAACATAATTTTTTTCTCCTGTCTGTCAGTTTGTCAACATATGACTTTTACAGTTTAAAAAGTACAAATTAATTTTTGAGTAAGTTTATTTGTCTGCACTAGCAAAGCAGAACTTTCAAGCAGTTCCATTCTATAATGACAGAGCACAGTGTCTGCACTTTGGGAACAGAAAGCAATCATCACATGGTCTTTAGCAGTGGTTTAAGTCTCTAGAGATTTTACATGCTCCACTTTCAGAAGGAATCAAACTCTTTTTCAAACAAGTAATTACAGACTACACACAGCTTCAAATATCTCAAGAAGCAAACATACTATGGCAGAATACAACTTTTTTGTTGTTTTTTTTTTTTTTTTTTTTTTTTTTTTTT